CTGAGAGTTTTGCAGAGGGGATGTATGGAGCCGTATCCAGACATTCTCCTCAACCGTTCCTGCGAGGCCCCAAAAAACATCAGACTGAGCCCATGTGAGAATACATCAGGACGATGGACACAGACACTGAAGGAAACATTAGCCTCGACCTTATCCAAAGCTACGGATCTATTTGTGATGGACTCTACAAAAACCTGGACTCAACCCTCAGACTGAACCTGGGCTGCCGAGGCTGCACCACATCACGTGCAGCTCACACACACACACACACACACACACACACAGTAAAGAAAGCCCCATTAGATATTAAACGTGTTGTTTGGCCTCTGCACAGACAGACGAGCTGAGACTCCTCGTCTGCATCGTGACACAAACGCCACACGCTCTGTTTCTTACATGCATGTTCTTCTCCGTGTGCAGACATGCTAACAGCACACATGCGGCCGAACGGGAGGCCGGCGGTCTGCACTTTCTGTGTTGCCAGGCAACTGAACAGCAACATTTCACTGAGTCCAACTTTCAGCGAGTGGATTTGATGTCTTCACACTCACCCGCGAGGTGCATGTACCAGCATTTGATTTCATGATGAAACCCTCAACCCTGATGTGGGTGTTTCACTTTATTACAGCAGCTTATTTTAATGTGTCCTGTTGTAAACCTGGTGAGGTGCACTTCAGTAATCCCAGCGTGGGATTACTCATCGTGCTTTAAATCACTCTCTCTCTCTCTCTCTCTATAACTATCTCACTCACACACATAAAAATAAGCATTTGGCAGCGAACGCATGGGACATGACCTTAATGTGCTGTAAGGAGCTTAGACAGCTGAGCCTTGCATGAAAGCCGCCGCTGGGTTTCTCCACGGAGACGACAGGAAGTAAAAACTGTGCGTGGGCGTCTTTATGTGTCTTGTGTTTAGTTGCATGCATCACTTTTTAATCTTGAAATGATGGAGCCCCTGAATGTCTGAGCTTCTCTGGTGGTTTGTGTTTTCTACTGTCGGGTCTATTGTTTTGTGTTTACACATTTCGTGCAGCTCGAAAGATTTAAAAAAAAAAAAAAGAATTCAGAAGAATCTAAAGTGACATTTCTTTCTACTTTCCAGGAGAATCCACCGTCAGAGAATCTCTGACTGGGTTTCAGACTGAAGGAGACGTCTGTCTGCCTCCTCGACAAGTTGTTTCGCAGTTTGTGTCAAATGAAGAGAACGATGGCGTCCAAACATTCAAATGTGGCCGTCTAATTAAGTTTCTCAGTTTTTTAGCTAACGTCTATTTCTTCAAAGTGGCTTCACTTATATTAACTCCCGTCTCCTGATCGGACCCTTCAGTCGACTGAAGAAGCAGCAGAGACAGAAGCACATTTCGCTGAGCGCCTCTGTGCCTCCCTCATGTGACTCAGTAAACACTGGCAGTAAAAACACATCAATAAAATATGGTCCCCTCGTTACGGGCGACATTACAGCATCGACTCCCCCGTCTTCGACGAACGGGGACTCACTGTGGGATTGATTCATTAAACAAACATTTAACTTTCCCATAAAAAACAAACTTCAAGTTAAACATCTTGTCTGTGTTTAGATTTTTACAGGGAAATATAAGATTGTGGTTAAAAAAACACTGAAATATGACCACATTTAAAATTTGAAACATTATTATGTTTGGACTCATGTCTCCGTCCAGCTGATGAACGTAAGACAGATGTTTCTGTATTTGTCTCCTTCTCCTCCTGAGGGAAGTTTCTGGCTCTTCACCAGCTCATCTGTGATTGTGTCTGTCTGATGTTCGGTCTTTTTATATTTTGTTATTATTGATGGATTTGAACTGGTCTCATCTCTTCACTCTCTCTCGGACGCTCCAGCTGTTGCTGCAGGTTAAAATGAAGCGAGGGAAGAGGGTCACGCACCCAAAACCCGCTGCCGTGTCGATTTGGAGCTTTCTGTCTGTTTACTGAGTTCACAACATTTACAGGACTGACTGAGATTGTGAGAATGAGGTTTAAAGTTCAACTGACAGAATTTCCAGCTCTGCAGAGATCAGCTCAGGAAACAGGATGAGTGAGCTACACGAGGACTGATGGTATGTGACCATCTGCACAAGATTATAACGCTGACGGACGCCTCAGGTCACCGCCGACAATCCCAAAGTTAGCCCGACCAAAAGAGGTGGTCTCTGTCCGCATCAAACTGAACCATGGTTCTGTTCGTTAGCTTCCACCTGAGCATCTGCATTTAGCTCCTTAGTGGAAACCAGCGGCAGTTTATCATAAATCCTGTTGCACCATTTTCCCTTTTTGTAGATGAAGATTGTATTGTTGTGGACTCACGGTGACGCCAGCAGGTTGTTTGTTGGCTGTGGGTCAGGGGGAGGAGGGAGGTGTTTGGTTCTTTACAGTAAATGGACTGTTTCTCATTTCACACACTGAGTTTTAATGTAGAAATCTCAGCATGAGGACGTTTTCATTAGGTCCCTGCTTTTTATTAACAACCTCATCAACCCCCTGCAGACACACCAGCACGTCCAGCACATTGTGTTCTGTTCTCTAATGTGGCAGCAATATTTGTTGGCAGTGGCCACACGATGATAATCTTCAGTATTTTTTTTTATAACTTGTTTGACCATTTAAAAAAAGGTAGTTGAATATAATCTAATGATTTCAATAAAAAAACGTTCCTGATGTAAGAATTCTGTGAGGATTTGATGATTGTCTTTGGGTTTCTCTTCTGTTTTCTATTTAAAACTTCTCGGTCCATTGCTGAGATGAATTTTAACGAGGTTCAGTGTTAGCTGTGAATCTCCTGTGGAAACGTCGTGCCCACAGTCTGCGGGAATGAAGTTGCATCTGGCCCCAGGCTGAAGTCGACTCCCCGGCCCGATGAACACGTTTACGTCTCCTCAGAAAACGGGTTTTCCTCTCAGAGGGTTCGGAGCCGTAGATAATTTATCTGGTTCACAAAATGAATTCTCTGGTTCCAGAGGCAGTTTTTTTTTCTCCACCTGAATATATAAAAGATTTAAACGCTCCTCTATTTATATAATTGGGAGGAAAACCTGTTATACAACACATGAGATGTTTTATCGTGGATCTGTCATCTGCTCTTCATCTGCCTCTGCCTTCATCTTGTTTTTTAAAATTAATATTCGGTTGGCTCTGTTTACTGCTCACTTCTCATCGCTCTCTTGTTTTTGCGCTGCTGTACCCAGAGATCACCTGTCAATCAAAAAGTGTGGGTGGTGGAGCTGTGGCGTCTTTATTCTTTTTTTTTCTCCTCCGGGCTTCATGGTGGCATTTCACATTCTCCACTTGTTCTTAAAAACCAAACAAACCACTTTTACTTTCCCATCCTGTCTTTTCTAAATATATCCACTGACATTTGGAAAATCACTTTTCTGAACACAAGGTAGAATTATCAGTAAAATGCAGCGTTGCACACGTCTTGAGTTTTGTTCCTGTGGACTGCTTCCTCGTCACAACATAAATGTGTCAATACGCAAGTTCTGGTTTCACGTTAGCAACACAAACTTCCGCAGCGGAACCAGACTCCCTCACTGACCTTGGGCAGCTGCTCTCCTCTCTCCAGGACGTCCTGCAGGTGGCGTCCTCTGTCGCTGCGAGACTGCAGCTCGTTACCCAGCAGGTCACCCAGGGTCATGTGACGCAGGCCCAACCTGTCCTCCATCCGCTGGCACTGGACCGACTTTCCTGAACCTGGACCACCTGAGAACACACACACACACACACACACACACACACACACACACACACACACACACGAAACTCTCTTAACTCTTTTAAACATAAACTGAACATTTATTATGTAAATAAAGTGTTTTTACTAAATATAGACAATAAAAACATATAAAGAGCGAACAGGTGGATTAAACAATATATATATGGAATAATAGATAAAGATCAATCTAGAGCAGAAACACAAACACAGAGGGGCGTGTGTGTGTGCGTGTGTGTGTGTGTGTGCGTGTGTGTGTGTGTGTGTGTGTGTGTGTGTGTGTGTGTGGCAGTGACTAACAGAGGAAAGCAGAGAGACAGAGAATGTAATGAACAATTAGCTCTAATGTGACTGAAGGAAAATTAAACCCAGGCTGCTCGTGTGAACTGTAATTTGCAGTGATACAAGAATCAGAGATAAGCAGGAGGAGAAGGAGGCGAGAGAGGAGAGGGAGGACAGGAAGGACAGAGAGGAGAGGGAGGACAGGAAGGACAGAGAGGAGAGGGAGGACAGGGAGGAAAGGGAGGACAGCTGCAGAGACAGATTCATGTCTGTAAGCATGACACAGTTAACTAAGAGAGATCAACTCAGACTGGAGACAACACACGTCCTCTTCTCTTCCACTGAACTGGGATCAGTGTCCTAACTCATCCTCTGTCTCACACACTACTCATTTGAGCAGATTTGACTTTTTAAGGGCAGAGACTTGTTGGGTCTGTGTCTTGCTCGGTCGCCGTGCTGTGAAGTCTGCAGGTGTGTTATCTCGGGTTAACTGCATCACTCGGCCATGAAGCAACCCCCCCCCACCAGCCTGGAGCTCTGTAATAAAGCTCAGCATGTGCTTCATATTCATCAGTATGCTGCTCCAGTCAGGGAGTGGCTGTCCTCAGCCCGCCTTCAAAAACAAATGTCCTCATCTCCTCAGAGAGCATGGACGGATATGAGCAGCGCTCGGTCCCCCCCCCCCCCCTCCGCCTGGAGACAACCGTCAAGTCAGAGAGTCAGAGGTCCGTAAGGAATCGAGGAGAGGGGGGTGATGCATTCATTCATTGAGCATTCAACACATTTCCACTGATTTAATTCATTCCATCACACTTCTGTCAGACAGGAAGATAATGACCCAGCAGGCCTGAGGCAGAAACCCTGAGACGCTTGTTAGAGACTCTTCAAATTAGTAGAATCCAACTCAGACCTGCAGGAGAAACAAGCGTCTGTGGGTAAAGTCACTTTCCTCCCTGAGATCACTTCACCTCACTGAAGTTCATGTGAGCGGTTTATTCTCATAAAACCCTTCTCTCTGTTTTTCTTCTTGCAGTTGAAGTTTTACAAATGGATTAAAAAATACAATATAAACAGGATAATGTGTCAATTCTGTTTTTTCTTTCTTTGAACATTTGAGAATCTGAGCAGCTCCGTCAAGTCGCAGCGCTGTGACAGATGGAATATGTCAGAGAGAGATGGAGCGGCCGACAGAGATGAAGACGAAAAACACGAAACAAGGCAAAGAGGGCAGAGGAGCAGTGATTTCATTCAGTCCGACTGCAGTACTCCATTCTCCTCGAGGTTTCAGCAGGTGCTACTTTCATGTAAAGAATCAAATCAGTCTAAATGAGAAAAGAGCTGCAGCGGAAACAACCTCCACTAATTGAGACTCTCAGTCATTCAGCTTCAGACGCAGGCGATGAAACTTTCAGTTCAACAGAACAACTCTAATGTTGATTAAAAAGAAATGTTAGGAAACATTTAGAATAATGCAAAATATACACACGCACAGCAGATCAAGTATTCTTTTAGTTTCATGTAGAAATGTCACATATGACACTTTTAAGTAATTCATAATTTTAGTCTATAAAAATACATTTTTGAATGATACCAAAACATTATGAGCTCGAAGCTCCAAATGTAATTCAGCATTTTATCCGATTAACTACATTAACGGATTATTATTGATCATTAAATGAACATTTAACCGATATAGTATTATGCGTATTTGATTATTTAAACTAATATTATGTGCCTTAATAATAATTATATCTGAATTTGTAGACCCCTTTAAGGTTCTGTGCTTTAACTGGGCAGCAACAAAATAATATTGACATGATATTAAGTCCTTGTGATAAATTACATTCATTACAATTCTCCCTTCTGCTGAAATGAGTTGTGCTTGTTAATAATTCTTTAACATAAGAAAACCACCGCAGAGAGGAGGGGAGCAGGAAAGAGGGAGGTGGAGGTGAGAGAGGAGCGGAGGGATGGAGAACATGAAGAGAAGACTCCAACAGAGAGAAGAGGAAAGAAAGAAGCAGCTAAAAGCAGAGACACAGTGAAGCCTCACATTAGCATTTCCCTCCGGCATCGACGCTGCGTTTCACTGCCGCAGAACAATCCTTCAACTTCTCCAGTTTCTCCAGTGAAAACTCTCCTCTACCAACTTTTAATCAAAAGCACTTTGAGAACCTTGATTCTAACTGACCTGACGTATCCGACTGTAATTGATTAAGAAATGTCAGCAGGAGCTCTAACTTCTTTTCATTGAATCACATAATTCTATCTGTGTGTTTTCAGGGTTTTAATGGCGACGTGAAGAACCAGTTAATCCAGTCATTAGTTGTTTAGTGTTGCCTTGACACAACAGACTTCTGTGTATTACACAAAACGACCGCAAGGGATTGCGAGCCCGTCATTAAGAGTCAGTGACGGATCACCTCGGCCTCTCCTGAAGCAGCTGTATCAGAAAAGATTGACGGGAGGAGACGGGGACGGAGGCTGTGCAGAGACGAGGAGTCATATTGTGTCAGTGAGACTTGACAGTGTTTCCAAAGTCAGCTCGACGTCTGACGTGCTGAGAAAGAAAATGACCTGAGCCCCTGGATAACAGCCCCAGAGTTCAAATGTGCACGTAGCAGTACAGAAATCTACCTTAAGAGCTCAACTTTTCTAAAGTTTGGTTGAAAACACTCAACATGAGGCATTTCTAACAATATGATTGGTCAAGGGGTGGGGCTGTAAATGCTGCAGCTGTTTAGGTTCCGCTAACGAAGTTTCCCAGAGTTAGATTGATCTCTAAAGTAAACTGCAGCTCTGGCTCCGAGGAGTTTATCTTCATTACCCTGAGGTACCACACACACACACACACACACACACACACGTTTTAGAGAAACTCTGTCAAAGTTGAGAGGAACATTTCGTCCTGTGGTTTGAAGATACAGTCCTTCATATTAAAGTCGACTTGTGTTTCTTGGCTGAGAAAAAGGGCTAACGCACTTTTTTTTCTGCTTTAATACTTTCAGTCATCACCACCCTGGTATGGACAGAATAAAATCATGAATCTGTTCCCGGGCCAACCTTTACATGGTGCAACATGAGCTCAGGAGACAGATCAGAGTCGAGTCGTGACAGTTGTTATATTTGCATGTGGCATTTCCCCCCCAATTATCCGCTCGTGCTGAGAAGAAGAAGCTCCTGGACTCCCTCCAGGTCCACTTCAAAAAATAACAAGACAACCAGTGCGAACACAGATCAGTGGGGATTTGTCTCGTTGCTTTCCAAACAAAGGGATTTGAAGGCGAAGACACAGCAGAGTCAGTGTAATATATTATAATCACTATAAAGGGAACACACGCGATAAATAAAAGAATCGAATAGAGCCAGATCTCTATTTAACTATTTCATTCGGTGATGCCACTGTGAGGATTATTGATTTTGCGTTAGGCGGCTGTGGCTCAGGGGGTAGAGAGGGTTGTCCATGAACTTTCTTTAACATTGCAAGATTTAACATTGTTACTGATTTCCCAGTGAATAATTCAGGAATCTTGAATGGATGATATTTGGTTCGGATCCTTAGAACAATCAGAATCTGCTGATATATATATTTTAAAGATGAGATATTGGGTGATTTGGAGCTGCTCAAATTAAAAATCTGGAACTAGCAGGTTCAAGTGTGTTTCACAGGGGGTTAGATTCTTCTCAGCCGCTGTACGGTAACAAGTTCCTTTAGTGATCCTGAGGGAAATTTAGGCATCGAGTAGTTGTTTTTATCTGCTCGTCCACCTCAAATGAATCCGTCTCCCTCGTGTTCAGGTTCACCTGCTGTCTGTGTGTTGCTGCCCCGCTCAGCCAGCACCTTTTATCTGGGATTCAAACCCTGGCGCAGGGACTCTGAGTATAATTAAGTGGTCAGCACCTTTATCTTATTCCAGTTCAGCTCCTGCACATTGATTTTGTCTTGAGCTGTTGTTGATAAATCCTTTTCTTATTTATGTCATGTCTCTCTCTACCTGTGCTGCACATGGAGTCCTGTCTCCTGAACAGCTAAATAAGGACCGACTCCATGCTGTGAAACGCCAACGTGTCTAAGTCCTTGGGTCTCTTGAAGGACGCTTTCTAAATTCAAGCTATTATCATTAAAAAGGCCTGTCGGTGAATGAGCACAGCTATTTGTGTTTTGAATCACGTCTGTTACTTGTGCCGAGCCAGTGATGAGCCACATTTGAGAACATCCGTTCTGAGGAGGTGCAGGCAGAGGTCGAGTTTGTCTAATGCTCTTAATTAATTCACTCATTGTCTGAGTACAAAACCCCCAAATATTCAGTTACCGGTGACATAAAGCAGAAATAAATAACAGGTCATTTAACAAAATCATTACTGATTTTCTATCGTAAAGTAAAAAAGTAAAACTATATGAATTAATCAACCCAGTATTGTTTCACCTCAACAAAAGCCTCAGTCTGTTTCTGAAAAACCTCCGTGTTTACTCTTTTCACACATTCAGAGCTCGTTCTCAGACCTGGCAGGGGAGCGCCGTTATATGTAAATCACAAAAAGGTGCAGGCAGGAGGCAGCCTGCACACTGACTCTGAATTTATTTAAATGGGGTTAAAACCATCCAACCTGTCAAAGCGAATGCAGCAATTATCTCAAAACCTTTCATCTGAAAAATAACAACCATCGGTGGAGAGAGGAACACGATCAATTATAAAAGTGCTTATGAAAACCTTTGTGTTGAAAACCTTTAGTTAAATGTTTCACACGTTCAATCGCCAAGAAACTCTACTTAAAAAGTAGAAAAACTTTTTGATTGACTTCCTCTCCGACGCCTGAAATCAGCGACACCCTCTAACGACAGACATCTGTCGATCTCCTTCCGGCGACGCACACGCTTGTGTCTGTTTCAGTGTTTAAGAACGATAAGAGTCACAGTCAGCAGCTGCTCAGTATTATTCTGTGTGTGTGTGTGTGTGTGTGTGTGTGTGTGTGTGTGTGTGTGTGCGCGTGCGTGCATTTACGTACCAATCATGAAGACGACCTTTGGTTTCCTGTGTTCTGTGCTATAACCTGTCAGAGCAAAGAAAATCTGAGATCAACACATACCAGCTATAATGTGCAGGTCATACACACATGCACACACACATGTGTGGTTGCAATGGTCTTATTTAATTCCAGCGTCTTTATGTAATTGTTAATATAATTAGTTTCATTTGAGCATCTCCCTTCTGTACAAAGTCAAAATATCTGCAGAGAGAAAATCTCTGTTGTTGGTCGGTATAAAAAAACAGCGGACTTTTTAATTATTGCATGTAAAGGAAAGTTAATGGAGGCTCGGCACAAGTGTCAACACAAAAGGTCAAGATAATAGCGGAACTGTTTCCCTCTCTCATTTACATATATATGACATTCCTTGTAGTAAACAGTCTCTGAAAATGTGTTATGTCCAGGAACAGTGACAGGTCCTGATGTACGTCCAGCAGTGGAAGCAGTTTGTCCAGAAGAAACAGAACAATGGTCCTATATCATTGAACACGTTACTATTCAAGAAACTGCATTTGTCGTGATTAATTCATTAGTTCAATTGGCTTCATGAAGACGTTATCTTACTCTTCGCTAACAATGAAAGATGTGACAGGGGATTTGGTCTCATATACATTTCTTAAAGGTTTTTTGTATTGTTGACATTTAATACACAAATACTAATTCATTGACCCAAACATCTGATGGTAGAATAATCAGCGATGGCCGAGTGGATGCAAATCAAACTACACAACGACACCAGTTTAATTTGGTTTTCATTGTATTTCATGTAAGAAACACAGCTTATGTGAATTTTCTGGAACCACATGTTGATTAAATGCAGTTTTTTCTCGGTTGCTCTCCTCTTCCTCCTTCTCTTCCTCCTCCTCCTCCTCTCTGCTCTGCTGCTGCAGTTCACCGACGAGATAAACATCACATCTAACTGACGACACAAACCTACAGGCCGATCTTCCTCCCCCTCTCTGACACAATCAATACTGTTGATACACAGGGACGCTGATGAAACACGCCATGCAACTGCTATTCACCGGACGCCTGAATGAGCCTCTCTCTCCGCGCGCGTGTGTGTGTGACGATATGAATGGAGTGGGCTGCTGCTCGTTTATGAAAGAAGGCAGAAGCAGATAAATTCATTACATAACAGTTAATAAAAACTCTGCTGATGAGATATCGTTTCGTGGTGTCACCTGTTCACTCGTCCACGATTTCTACAGAAAATCAATCATTTCGTCAACTCACTGTCTGCTGCTCCTTCAGCATAACCAATGTCTTCCTCCTCTTCCACCTGGAAAGACAGATTCACATTAAAAGTCTAATATCATTTTTAAAAAAGCTTCTAACCCCAGTCTCAGGATCTCGACTGTAAAAAGTTACAGTCAAAAACCCCAAAAGATCTAATTCAGTCCAGTTATTAGACAGAATGACAGATTCATAAAAAGCTTGATTTAGCACATTCTTTTTCACTTTATCAAATATTCAGCTTCTGTACTTCTAAGATCGCTGCTGTGTCACTGCTGCAGGTTTCCATGGTTATCCTCCACAGATTTGAACCATCTGCACTCTTCTGGCACAAACGACCTGCCAGTGACTTGAGTTATTAGAAAACATATATCTTTTATGATTTAGCAGCCTGCTCACAGCTAAATTGCTTCATCGCTCATATAAAAAGAAAGTACTACATTAAAGATAACCAATGAACTGTGTTTGTGTGTAGAGGACGATTCAGAACTTTGACATTATTTTTTATTAGTGTGTTTTCCTTAATTGAGAGTTGATCGCTTAAAGCTACAACAACAAAACAATGATCACAGAAATCCTCATTTCTAGAGATTATTCATAAGGCAAACCTGAGTTGAAGGATTGTTTGGCCTCTAGAGGGCAGTGCAACAAGCAGTAAAAACACCTTTCATTTCTGTATTCACTTTTAATTTGATGTTTAGAACTGGACGACTTCCTGTTTTAATATAGAGATATTATGGCAGAACTGACGATTAATTTAATATCAATGCTCATGTCGGTCACAACAGTCAAATCCTAATATACAGTTTATACTTTCATCTGAGTCCAGTATTAAAAGAAAACATTATTACTGTGAATGCAGCCGTTCCATAGTCAGGAAATGAAAGACAATTAAAATGAAAACTGTTAATTTGTCAGAATACAATGAAAAACTTGAGAACACCAGAGATAAAGGGAACAAAATAATTAAATTGAGCAGATGATTAAATAATGTGAACGAGTGATTTGTAATTCGATTTAGAACAGATTGTCAAACACCCCCAACCACCATGCCTAATGGACTGTGTAGTTAAGTGCTGTCTCATTTCTATTCCAATAATGACAAGACAGAGTTCAGAATTAAAACTCTAATGGATCTTCTAAATGACACCGTTTGCACCAATTTGTGGGAGTAGAGAGGAAACGTCGAGACTACAGATCAGGTTTGGGACTTATTGAGTTTTTCACCAGGATACACAACTTGAATGTTCTTTAGAAACGTTGCAGTAGTAACATCTGCATCACCAAACGCAACCTACAACATCTCTTCAAGGTGTTCTCGAGATATCGTGTTCTCGAGATATCGAACGCGTTGTTCTTCTCGTCCTGTTTCGGTATTTGCGGATTGTATTGTGGAGAGATGTATTGACAGATGGTGAAGAAGAGACAAAGAAAAAAACGGTCGCTAAAGAAAGATGACCTCCCCTGACATTTCCGTCTCTTCCCAGCTCTTGACTCACATCGCTCTGATACCGACTCCTGACGGCTGATGTGTGGTTACTGGCGGAGGGGTCAGTGTGGAGCTGCAGTAAAGACGCAGGAGAAAGTGAAGCGGAGCTCTGACAGTGTTGAAGAAACACCGTCAGTGTGGGGGAGGGCCGGGTGCCAGCAGAGAGACTTGGCATGTGGGTACACCAACTGGTCGGATGACTCACAGAGAGAAACACATGACCAGCATGCATTGCTTACACGTGATGTGGACAAGACATGTAAACACACTCACACACACACACAAACAGTCGTTTTTATGAAATCCTCAGAAGTCCATAGTGTCTGTTGGTGTAAGTGACAGTATGTGATAAGAAACAACATGTATGTGTCATCAACACAAAACAACACGATGGATGCTGGACAGAAAACCTCCATTTACTTCTATATTAATAATGTAGTGTTTATTCTGCACAAACATGTTTTAGAGTCGTACAATAATAAAAATCTTGTATTAGATAAATGAATAGTTTACAATTCAACTGAGCACACGGCCGTGTAAATAAAATAACAAGCTAAATATTAACATCAGCCTAATAACATGTTAATATTTAGCAGCTGTAATGTTTTTTAATGTTCATCATATTTTATTATGTTAGGAAACTGATACAGCTACTGATAGTGAGTAAAACATTGAATACTGAATACTGATATATCTGCTGGTAGTACTCTTCTGAATTGTCCCAAAGTGAAAAATGTGAAAGATCCAGTTTTTATAAGAAATGTTAAAAACTGAAAATTAGCATCACTGATGCATCATCACCATTTAACTCCATTTGGCAAGTTGTTTATTTTTATTTTTATTATTGTTTCTCTGTTTTTGGTCTCTTCCAACTTTGCTAGAGACCAAAACATGTAGGAAAATATAAAAATATAAATATTAAACTATGCATTCATGCAGGGAGTAATGCAGATTTTAACTGGTTCCTTACTGTTGCTATCAAACTGTGGAGTCCATCCATTTCAAACAAGGGGGCAGGATTTGTGAGGTTCAATGAAAAGACCAGAGTCTGACTTTAAACCACTAAGACACTAACAAATTACAGAACATGTGGTCGTCCATGTCGTTGGTGTTTTCCTTTTAAAAGTATACTCCCTTTGTTGGGAGCGACCCTCGGATTGAAAGATTTAACCCTGGTCGGGCTTTTAGATGATAAATAAATATATTTTACAAAATGGGATAAAGAGAGAAGGAGAAATAAGGACGGTAACTACGTGGAGGACTATTTACTCCACCACCAGCACATTTCTGTAGAGGGAGTTGTCCAAAAGTCTCCACTGCCGACCAGCCGGCGGTAAACAGACTCCGTTATTTAGAGTGGCTCCCAAGTGTGAATTCAATGCGCTGCATAAATGAAGAAGTGAGCCGCTGAGAGAGCCCTGGAAACCAGGCCTGGGTAGAAAACTGAAAACAGTAAAGCACCTCCATGGGGCCGCAAGAAAAAGGGAGCTGAGCATTTATGTAAAATGAGGGTGATGCCTCACTGCAGCACTAGGGCCGCGTCTACGTCCTCCATCTCTGGACATGTCGTCCGCTGAATCATCTGGCCTTTGAATCGAGTTCACGGTTTGTCAGGTTTGAAAAGGTGATTTGTAGATTGTCAGTTTGTTGTGAAAATAAAAAAAAGTGAGAGGGAGAGAGTCAGAGTGGAGGTCGTTGACTTAGGCTCGTTAGCGATGATTCAAAATTTGATTTCTGTAATGGGATAAAAATGTCATGTTGAAAGGGCAATAAGATCGTTACCAAGTTACTGCTGATGACAATTCTCCAATAAGGTTGTTATGATGATGACTGAGGTGAAAGGACAGAGCTAAGATTTATAACACCTCGTTACTGCCGTGACTTTTCTGGTAATATCCAATTATAGTCAGGAAATCTTGTTTCTAGAAAATAACTCATTTTACTCCTGCATTGTTTTTCACTTGTTAGAAGTTTTTGTATTTTACGTGAGACTGTGACGATCCTGACTATGAGACGTTTTGAATAAGATGTTTTACAGTTGTTGCTGCCCTGTCATGCAGTTTAAAGAGGTGCACCGTCCCCATAGATCTATAGATCTTATCGAAAAATCAACAGCCACACTCCACGGGTAATAATGAATCATAATCTTACCTCGCTGTATTTGCAAGCAACATCTGCCAGGCTGCTGGTGTCACCCAGTAGACTGAGGTCCAGCTCGCTGGGACCTGAAGACAGAACAATCCAACCAACATCAAATTTAAACGCGGGAACTGTTCTGACATTTTGGGTGATGTGCTTATTTGGTGTCTAAGATGTGAAGATCAGTGGGAGACATGACACACGCTCCTGTCCAGATGTAGACAGATGCACAGCTGCACTCTGATGTTTAAATTACGCAACAAAGTCCGAAATAGAATATCTGCAAATGAACATGAATCTAAGCTCCATAAATCTGAACTTCCCTATGACTGAAAGATGCTGATGGTGATGCTTCGACACATTGAATCCTCGTTCCCTAACTCGGTGGAAATGGGTCGTGAATAACACTTCCCCTCGGCGGATTGTCGTCTTCTGGCTGCACGTCGGAGCCTCCTCGTTAGAGAACTGGGTTAGATTCTGTGAGGGTGCAGCTTCAAACATTCAGATTCCAGGGAGACGCTGGCTGTGAATTTCTTAGAAGCATTATGTTGCCATGCCTCAGAATGCACCAGATTTACAGAGAAACGCAGCAAGTGAACATTGTCCTCAGTTCTCTCCTGCAGTTCTTAACTTAAAGAGTCAGCAGCATGTCAGAGTGTATCTGGTCTGAGAGCCGCTGAGGTCTGACTGTGTGGAGATTTTAATTTTGCCCACCGAGGGCAGCGGTGTCAGGTGGTTAAGGTTGCGTTCGTCAGCATCGCTTCACTTCGGTCCACATGTGCCGCTGTGATAATCACAGCCTGAGGGTGGACGAGGCTGCAGGAGAGTGGCAGCTGTTTCTCTCTCTGCTGGGAGAAATGTAGCACCAGCAGCAGCAGATGGACTCAAAAGCAATTTCTCTTGAGTTTGTCGTAACAACTTCCAAATCTATTTTTACATTTTGCACCATCTTCCTGTTTCGTGAAGCTTTTCCTTTCACTTCTTCTTTGCGTGGCAGAGACATCGTCTGATCTCTGAGAGGATCACACAGCATAAATAGACCTTTTAGTGGTCGTCTTTCAAAATGAACTCCATTCAAGATGAGTTCCTGTGTGGAAAAACCTATTTAGAAGCTCCATTATGGAAAACATGTAGTAACATCCAGATAAATGTACAGATCTCTCTCTAATGCATGTCACTGTGCAGGAACATATATAACTACATTCTTTATGGGAGGCTCTCTCAGTCAATTATGCTCTAAATGAGTGGAAAAAATCAATAGTCTATAAAGGTTCTCATTCCTATAAGAGTAATATTTTATTTTAAGAACAATATAATGAGATTTTCCAGCACGATCACCCAGGAGAGCTCAGCGAACATTTAGAGGGTTCAGTGGCTTTTCGCTGCCACTGACTGATCATTTCTAAGTTAATGAGGATGCGAACATTTGTTTGAGGAGCTATAGTTTGAAGTTCTGCAGGGTTTGTGTTGCTCCTAGTTTTTTTTTGTTGTGTCCTCTGTGTCTGTTTGGTATTTGAGCATCTTGTCTTGAAGCAGGCTGCTCTGAACGACGAGGCGAGGAGCTGCAGGAGTGTGTCTGCTAGCTGTCAAATAGCAGGAGTCAATTTCTGCGTCAAGGATCTGTGGGAACGTGAGCTGCAGTCTTCTCATGTGCTGGAGAGAAGTCTTTTATGGATTATTCAAGGGTGAATTTGACTTTAATACTAAAAGAGGAATGACAGTTTTCCATTCTTAGAACAGATGCATTCTTATTTTATTCTCTTTTATATACTCTTCTATTTATTTCTCTTCTGTTCACTTTTTATTTGCTGTTTACAAATGTACTCATTAGTATCTTCAGGAGTTACGCAGGTTGGGACATTTTACATCTCTATGTGCAGTCCATAGTCTCTGCATGTCCCCCCCTAAGGTTATCTTTGGCTCCTCCCTCATTGTAACGCCCATGTACTCAGTGTGTCGTTGGGAAGCAGCTCTCCTCATCACAACAATACCGTAACATTTTTCTCCTCTGGCAGTGTTTCGAGGAGCCATATGTTCTCTCGCTGTGATTCAGCACCTCCTCACATGAACCTCAGTTTTACTCCCGAGTTAAAAACTACTCCCTTCATCACAACACCACTGAAGCAGCTTGCGATAGATTGTGCTGCCTTTCGATTGGTCCGTGTGAACTGTGTGGAACGACGTGATGACAATAAAGATAAGAAAGATATGAAGCCCAACATCTGAAGATTTTATCCAGAGGGATTTATAACCCACACAGCTCATAACACCTTATGTCCTTGGACAATCAACAAAGTCTAGAAACAGATCAAAACTGAAACCTGTCAGGTAACGTTTCTCCAGCACGGCACACTTCATTCACCGTATGTTTTCAGCTACCCAGCCTTCATCAGCCTCCCTAATGATTTCTGCTGAATAAACGCTTGGTAAACAAAGCACGTTGTGTAAGAAAGAGTAAGAAACTGTTGTTTCCTGATGAGCAGACGGATTAAACTGATTTTGTGAAGTAGACGTAAAGAGAAGATGCTCAAAGTAGAGAAACAGAGGTGACATAATTCTGCTGGGCTGATGAGTGAGCCAACATGAGCTCTTTGCAGTTATATTAGTGTAGCAAGGATACAGTGTGTGTAGTGAGCGTACACAGCCAGCTCAAAACACCAAAGCTCTCTATCCATTTGTTTTATTATTTAAATTCTATAAATTCTACGTTCTGCTCATATTCATGTTCATAATTGTAATCGGCTTTATTACTTGAAAAGATGAACAAGCTCTAATGTTCAGGAAACACATCACGCTCCTCATAGTGTCCATTGCTGCAGCTCCTCTTTTCAGCCTCTGTCAGAAAGCTCCTGTTTCTTTAACGCCTCCTCTGGTTAAAGCCCATTCTGCTCTGACTGGTCAGCTGACAAACTCTGTCGTGATTGGTCAACCGCTTCCCGCACATGGAGGAAATATCGGCGTATAGGGGGCGTGTCAGACTATCGACCGGAGTGCTGACGAGGATCCTCAGGAGCAGTGTTTTCTCCGTGTACTGCAGACTTTGGGTTTCATTTTTACATTGCAGAACTTTTTTACCTACGTATATAACACACTAAGGGAAAGAGACAGTGAACTTACGTAGTACATCTCCTCTGAAACCACTGCAGATCGATGATCATATCTGTTCAACAGACATGAGGATGTTTGAGTCAGATCGTTACTCGAGGTGCAGAACGAATGTGTCTGGCAGCACAGGATCAGGATCTGTTCCCATCACAGCATCAAACACGGATTCTGACCTTGTTGAATCTGTGTTTCTCCCAAAGCCACGTTAACCCTGCTTCACTGGTTGCCATGCCAACTCTTGTGGGAACCAGGGAGCTGGTGGGTGAGGTTTTCAGTTTGTTCTATCTTCTCGTGTATTCGGGCTATTTTGAAGAGACCCCCGCCACACAGTACAAATACATTAGGAGCTTTTAAAACGGCTGTAAAGACCCTGATGTTCTCCACTGTGACTGTCAGTATTTCAGTATTTTGCTGCTGGTGATATTGCATTAGGTTTCATCATTATTTGGCCCATGTAGCTGCTGCACAGAATGTCATCAACTGCTTTATATAAATGTGTGTGTATGTGAATATATATATGGAGGTGTCACTGTGTTTTGTAAAAATGACAGTTCATCTCACCAGCTGCAGGCTCTTTGGAAGGAAACAACTTATTGTCCACAGTCATGCTGATGTCACAGAAGATCTCCTCTTCATCTCGGTCGGCATCCAACTATAAGAAAAACAAAAAATATATATGTAATGAGATTTTTCCAACGTTTTAATTAAAATGTACGTTTCTGTTTGACCTTCACTTCCCTATGATGTATAATTAAATCAACATTAAATGAATCCTCGCTCTTCCTTTAATAGAATCAGATTGGAAAAGCCTTGATCATATCAAAATGTGTCTAACGTCCAGATTATCTGGATGGAATATCAACCTGATTACATTCACTCCTGGTTTTATTTGTCTCACGTATCCACACTGACATCTGATCGCTCTGTCTGATTCCGAAGAAAAAACCCCAACAATAGAACGAAAGAAGAAGAAGAGCGTCGGTCACTGTGAAGCTGTGTTATTGTGTTTGATTGCTTTTCTATTGGTCTCATTTTCACTCTATCCTCAGTGGTTTTGATAATGTTGAGGATTGAGAACAGGATGTCTTCTTGTATTTCCTGACTAACAGCTGCTAACTACCTGCTGGTTTGGAACACTTGTGTGTTCTTATAATTACTTCCGTCTATGTAGTTGTCGTATGTGACAGCATTATTACATTTTCAAGTGGTCACAAAGTGTCCCTGAACACCGAGTACCTTTCTAATCTTAAGGTTCTGTACCTGGAGGCCCCTGTACAGTCAGCTGGTTGTAATACACAGCTTTACCACTAGATACCACTACACCCCACACTCTATACCTTCACGCTGAAACATAGACTCTTTTATAAAGATGGACGACGCTTCTTTATCGTCCCCTGGTGGCTGGCTGCAGAATAAGTCATAAACCTGCCTCCTCCATGTTAGCAAATAGGACTAACTAACTAAAAATGTAAAAAAAAACTAAAACATGTCCGTGGGACCTTGATACCGTGGCTCCATACCCTCACTGATGGAAGATATAATATTTTAGCTTAACTTCTGAATAGTGGGAGGAAGAGGAGACTTGTGGTCCGTCTTTATGACGAGTCTACAGACTGATCTGATATGAAGATAGCGAGGCCTCGCTTGTGTGTGTTATGTTCGAGGTAATCGTTTGTTTTGTTTCTACTCACACCAGGATTGCGTGTCTTTGTTTTACTGATATAGAAAGTTCATATAGTATTTTCTGGAAATCAAATAAAATGCTTTTAAAACGTGTCACTGACCTTAACCTACAGCACCATAAGTTAAACGGACATGCTTGGTCAGAGTTAAGTGGCTGTGACATCCAGAGTGAGACTCATTATAAGATCAAACATGAGAAACGAGCTCTGGTCTCTGGGAGCTACACACTCAGGCTATTTTGCATTCAACTCTCACCACAAGCTTTAATAACACTGGATTAATTAGCCTCCCCCTCCGTCCGTTTGTCTCTTTCCGATTATTCGGCGGTCAGATGCTTTTCTTTGCGAATACTATATTCACAAATTTGCCGTGAAGAATCTCCTTTGTGAATAAGGACGACGCTGATTGAAGCAGACGTCTCTCTGCTGACCTCCTGTTCCCAGCAGAGCAAATGACGAGCAGCTGAAAAAGGCGACCTCGTGCACACAAAGTCTGACATAATGGAACGCAATAGATTCGCTCTCAGCGTGGTTCTTGTAATCTGAGCTGACAGGAACTCATGCACTCAACATGTAATCTAGATAAAGAAATGAGGGTCAGGGGTGTGAGTGGAAGTCAGACGAATGCAAAGTCCCTTTTTTACACTGGTCAAGAAACCCACTGACATCGACTAACATTTGGCTTTTGTCTTAATGGGAGTAGATACAATCTGCGTTCACTCCCATGACACTAATTCTTTATTTTGGCAGTCTAGATGCTAATGCTGCAACGTTGGTGTTTAAATAGCCATGAACATTTGTGTGCTTGTTGTTTTTCTCATCTTGCAGTAGCGAGTTTTGCTTCTCATCGTGAAAGATGCAGCACTGGCAGGAGAGCAAGGTTTCTGATGCGTTGGTTTCAAGTGCATTCGTGGATGATGTCAAACATGACTCACCAGTGAGAAAAGAGAAAGACAAACTCTTCTCTTTTTTTTTCGCGTGTTCACCTGGGTTTAATGGGATTAGCATACCCGCTAACTTAGATGTAAAACAGGTGTAAGACGAGAAAAGCCGACAAACAACACTTCCTCTGTGGTAACCTTAAAAAAAGAGCGTCTGTTGAGTACTGTGTGGAATAGTCCCCTGAGCACCTGAGAGCCAGTGAGTGTCCACCTGCAGAGACGGAGCGGAGGAGGATCGAGCTGAGGATTCCCCAGAGAGCGTGGCAGTGGAAAAATCCATCAGGGTTCTCACATCTCACCATGTTTCACCATCAAGAGGAAAAAACACACCATAGACGATATTTATTCACACTCCAAAGAGAGAGAGGCTCCGTCAAATCCATTCATTCTTACCAGAAGCTTCACGACAGGCTTCTCACGTCATTTATCTGCAGGACAGATGAGACAGCTCCTGTCGTCTGAATGATTCACTGTGAGTAGCTTCCACTGCAGCGAGCGGAGCGTTTATATTAGAACCCAACGTGCACCTGTGCTCCTCTCATCATGAAAACTGACGCTGCATTCACACTAAGCCTCATTTCAACAATCTCTTTTTCTGCAAACAACCAAATCTAATGACAACACCTGTGTGACATGATCTGTCACTCTGGCATTTGAAAACCTGTTTTCTATTAATAGCTACTCACACATGGACACTCGCTCTCATTGTTGTTTGTTTGACTTTTACGCAAATCCACTGAACTGATTTTCTTTTAATTTGATTATTGAATATCAGTGTTTGTTCCAACTCTCCTCTGCTTCAGTCTGGTTCCAAGTGAGTCAGTTAGAAAAGGTAAATGTCTCATCTGTCTGTTGCCTTTAATCAAAAATGTAGAGACAGTTGAAAGGTTATGTTGACAAATCACTTTTAATCGAATCTGATCAAAACACTGAGTCCAGATGAAAGCACATCTTGGCCCAGTCGCAGATTTCTTTTCCCCTCATCAACCTGAACGTTGACTCAGGTCCTCATTGCGACATGTTTCTTTCAAAGGAGCTTTAATAATAACCTCTTTTAAACATTTCATTATTTGTGTTTTTATCTTTATTTTAAAAACCTCAACATGTCTTATTCATGTCAAACTTTAACTTTGTTTGCTGAGTTAAAACACCTCGTCCATTTAAGGCAGGAAACACATGACTCATAACAGGAGTCTTTTGTGAAGCAGGTTAAAGCAGCGGCTCCGTTTATGCTCTGTTAAGAGGCTGCAGATCTTTTCCTTTCGTTTTGTTTCGTGCGTTTACTGTAACTTCAAATGTTCTGTTTGGTCGTATGAATGAATTCATGTGAAAGTCTTGAAGACTTTGAGCTGATGGGGATTTGGAGAATTGATGAATCCTGCACACAACAATCTATAATGCTTTTCTTTGACGCTGTGTGGAGCTCAGAGTCGTCACAGAGGAGATATGAACAGATAGAAATGCAAAATACATTAATGGAAATAGACGAAGGTGAAACTCAAGGTTATCAAGTCAAGGTTATCTATGAAGTCCAGGTCTGTTGTGTCAGTGTTTAACATGAAGACGATTCATTTAAAGTTCATGTGTTTTCTGATTAGCCTGTATCTCATTTACATTCCAGGAATAATGGACACACACCTCGTTGCCGAGACACGAGATCCAGAAGGACGGTGCAAGGTGAGTGTGTTTGTACCTGTGTGGCATCAAGTGACATATAGGAAGGAAGCTGGAGCTGAACTCACTCAGGGAATACTTAATTAGATTGCTCCTTTTTTTTCTAGAATGACAACACGACTTCAGTCGAGGCCACAAGAAACTATTATCTCTCCTCGCTGCATTTTCTGTTTCGGGTCTTTGTGGTGCAGCTGTGTGTGTGTTTGTGTGGTTTCGATAAGCTGAGTCAGCCTACGTGAAAATCGTCATCTTCACTTTTAGCGCAAAAGTCTAAATGTCATCACTTGACGTGCAGGAGGAAAGCTGACAACGCTGAGGAATAAGACGCCAGAACTTCCTCAGTTAATTCAATGAAACATCAAGAATTAATAGACTTGCAGACGTGCGTATTGTCAATTTGGTCATTTCTATGCAGCTTCAACTATGTGCAGTAATGATTCATCGTGATTGTTCTTTTATGGAGTTATGTCTTCCCGTATTGAACCTGACATTTGCAATAAAAGGAGTACTTTCTCACAGAAGCCTTTCACCAAGCCAAAGCAATTACCCCGCAGTTTATTGAATTCATTAGTCAAGGAAGTATTGAGTCCTTCTCTTGGGATAATTACTGACGGACAGGGGGAATCTTATCCCATTAGAATTTAATCTCATCTTTAAAATGTGTTTTCATGCCCTGATCACACTGAAATGCAATGTTGTTCACAAATTATACTAAAACTGTGTTTAGCTTCATTAAGGACGGCTGCTGTTGAGACAAAGAAAGAAAGTGGAAGGAAGTTAGTATCTTGTGCTATATTTTAACAGCATGCTACATTTTCTGAATGAAAACTGTTGAAACCCTGAGTGCAAACACCGGAAACAAAATATAGAGGTCTATGATATATCTGTCAGTTCATGAGCATACTACTTGCAGTACACAATAACTCCAGACATGGTAAACTCTTAACCAGCATTCTTTAAAGTATGGTTCCAGTTCCAGTGAAGTTCAGAGCCTGTTTAAAGTATTACCGGGTAGTATTGTGCGTAGTGTAGTATTAGTGTCCTCTGTTGTGTAGGGACTGTACTCAAGAACACCGGAGGAACCAGGGATCAAACCACCGTCCTTCTTACTAGTGGACGTCCCTCTCAGTTGCAACAAGTAACTCTACCTCGTAACTGCACATGAGTATTTTCAGGTAACATATCAGAAGGACACATAACCACACATGAAGAGAACTGCTTTAGAAACATAGTGCTGTCTTGACTTCTTCTTTATGCTGATGACTCACACTTACCCGATAAATATTTTAGCCGCTACATCGCTAAATACATCTCTCTTCTCATAATCAGAGAATCTTTTACCATCTGTCCAGAAACAAATTCTGCTGCTGAGCTTTAATGTTGAAATCAAGAAACAGCATTGTGTTAATTATGGCTTCCTGTGCTGTGTTGCTCGCTTTTAACTTTTTTAGCAGCTTGACTTCCTCGTATTTAACTTTTGTTAGTTTCTGGGGGAGGGGGTGGTCGCAGTAAAGCTGTTGCCTCTGTGTGTTGAATGTTGAGGAGGTTCAGGCATTAGATAATGCTGCCTCCTGGCAGGGCGCCTTTTATTTGGAAGTCTTCCAGGCAACCCCAACTGGGAGGAGGCCCCGGGGTGGAGAACAAGCAGGAGAGATTAAATGTATATCTGACCTGGGAACGCCTCAGGATCCCTGAGGGGAGCAGGACTATGTTGCTGGGGAGAGGGATGTTTGGACGCCTTTGCATGAATCAACATCTGATCAGCATTTGAAAAACGGATGGATGTTTTTTTTTGTCTTTCCGACCTTTATTGACACAGGTGCTCTGCTGTATACGTGAAGTTTATCATCATGATTATAATAATGGAGCTTTTAGCCAGAAGGTGCTTTGATTAAAAAATTGTCTGCAGCTCCACCTTCGACTCTACAGAAATATAATCCAGGTTCATGCTGGTCTAAAATGTTTTCATTTCTCTGTGAGTAAAAAAAAAAAAGTCTGACACAGAGGGCTGCTGGGTAATATTATAAAATAATAATAACCTGAGCATGAATATGGATGGAGGATGTGAAGCGGCAGCCTCCACCACCAACAAACAAAAGAGCAAAATTTAACTCACAATTCAGCCACAAGGGAATGAAGATTTCTCTCTGAACAGCCAAGATTAAAAAATGTAAGTACGACTCATAATGTCTGCAGGACCCACACAGATGTGATAAATCAATTTCTGGCTCATACATTCCTTTGAGAAGGAAAATAAATCACCCTATGACTTAAATACTGCAACAAAAAAAACACAACAAGCCTTTTTAACTTTGTTTTATCATTTATCCGGCTTAAAAATGTAATCGGCTCTTTCCTGACCCATAATGCATCCTTCCACCAAGTTTCACGATAATCCGTTTAGTCGTTTTTTTTGTCATCCAGCTGACAAACAGACGGACAAACAAACAAACGCAGATGAAAACAGCTGAGCTGATAAAATCTTTGGCTGTGAGAAATCGTGATGTAAATGATTTGCCATTTTCTTGTATTTTCAAAATAAACAATTTTCTGATTACTTCAGAAAATATTTGACATATTAGCTGATTAGCTTTTCACCCTGTTGTCAGAATACAAGACACATTTGTCCATTATTGACAAAATAAAGAACAGTACTAATCTAAGTAGGAATCTGCTGCCAACTTTAGCTACCTGACAATTTTCAGTACCATCAGTTGATACTGAAGTGCGAGTGAACGATATGGAACCTAACGTCAGACACAAACAGGCAGCAGGCTTTGACTCTTAGAGGACATCTGGTTACATGAGACACACTGGAGATTACCCTTGAGTTTAAAATGTCCAGAGACAACAGTCTAAATCCATGCAAACAAAAGCCTCTCACAGTAACGGCGGAGCAGTTGTTCAGTATCCCCTTCGCTGGATGACGGCGCAGCTCTGAGACTCAGACGGATCAATAAGACTCCCACAGGCAGAGTGGGCAGCCACTTCCTGTTGGCCGCAGGAGCCGATAGCTCCATTAGCAACCGCTTCACACATACCATCGATACCCCTCTGCACCAGATTTAGAGAAGCTCACAACGGTCTCTGATTAACACTGAGTCCTCTGTCCCAACAGACAATGTGTCTTCCAGCTTGCAAAACAATCAGCAGCCAAAGAGATGCAGTCCAGAAAGATTAAGACTGAGTGTTAATATGTTCTTGTTTATAAAAACTTCAGCAAAAACCACTAAACCACTAAATGTCAAGTTTGATTATTGATTTCTAAGATCAATATGGTTCAGTGGTTAGTCACCGAACAGAAGATTCTAGCTCCAAACCATAGATTGTATATAAAGATGGATGTCATGACAGCTGCCCTAACTGGTGGCTGCCTCCTCCATGTTAGTGGATGGAATATGGACCAAACTACACTCAGTACATTTAATTCTTTGAGTAATTGCGCAAGATGGCGGCACCAGTGGCTGGGAAGGAAGACAGGCGCTTTGTCCATCTTTACAAACAGTCTATGTTTCAAACCTGCCGGACAACCGTGAACTTTTTTTTGTTAAGTTTAACTGTTTTTCAAAGCAAGTTGAAGCAGACGTGTAGATATTATTCCCCCCTGCCTTACCGTGACAATAAGGCCCCTCTCTTGGAAGTATTTCACCAGAGGAATGGTGTTTTGTTTGAAGTTGGTCAGACGGCGGTCGATGGCCTTGGGGTTGTCGTCGGGTCGTCCCTGCTGCTCGGCTCGCTTCTGCAGCCTCTCCTTCAAGCGGTGGTTGGTGCAGGCCAGGAACACCACCAGGTCAGGAGAGCATATCTAAAGGGAAAGAAAAGAGGGGAACCGTCACATCCAGCGCTCTGGGCTACACCACTCCTACACCTCACCTCCGTTCACATGGGATTTTTCATGATCCGACTCTGAGGAGACCAGGGAACTAATGCAGGGTTGGTTTCAATTTGACATTCTAGGCATTCAGGTCAAAATGTCAAAACTTCAATCAGAATAACAGCGTCACTCTCGGTATTCTCGTTTTTACGTTTTTGAATGGAAAAGTCCACCACCTGCATTTCACTGGACTGAATGAGCATCATGAAGGTAGCCTTGAAAATAACCTGCAGCTGCTCCTCTGATGATACAGTTTGAATACAGGTGGAACTGTGGGTAGAGGACGACAACACTTTACTGTCTCAGCAGGAGATGAGAACACCATTACCTGCTGCACACACACACACACACACACACACACACACACACACACACACACACACACACACACACACACACACACACACACACACACACACAANACACACACACACACACACACACACACACATCAGAAGAGTGAGACTGCAGACAGTCACATGGAAGTATTTTAAAACCAGTTTCTTTTCTATGACTTGACTCATCTGTCTGTGTCCATGTTTTTGCAGATCAAACGTGAAGAGGAGGACGTTATGAATCGTAAGTTGACACCTCAAGTAACGTTGCCTCATATCCTCCATATGCATGAATAAAGCTGTGATTACTCATTACTCTTTTCTGATATGGTTGTCACAACAAGGAAACATTAACTTTTGATTACCTGTCGTATGAATAATGTTTTATGCTTTATTTAGTTTTTATGTTTTATTTATTTCTGTTTCCCCCGTTCCTTCTGCGTAAACATGAATTTTAACACTTATGAATCAATATTACTTCAAAGTGACTGACCTAAATCCAAAATTAGTATGCAGCCTTTGTTGTTATCCATAAATTTATGCAATTATATCAGTAAATTAGTCGTATTAACAGAAGGTTAAGCTAAAAATGATTGTCAACACTTCTCTGCGTGAAGTGAAACCCCTCTGGTGAAATTACTACAATCATGAGATGATGAAGTAACTACGACAGGGCTGCAGCACCTGTTGCCAAGATGTAAGAGCTAGTGCAAATAAACCCCCGACTATTCCAACAGGCAGCAGCAACAACACTGAGCGAGGTGTGAGTAATAGAGATTGAATTAATGACGCTCCAACGAGCCTGACCACCTCTGTTTTACAAAGTCCAGCACAAAGACATTCCTTAGCAACCAATTAGTTTGTAAACTGAACACAGTGTGTGCTTATGTATAGATCTCTGACGCTGTTATTGGACTTTAAAGTGAAATCACTTGGTTGCCATGGTTCTGACCTCCTCTTAATTGCTCTCCTCAACCTGGACCTGACTCACCCGCCGCACCACCGGCGGGAAATTCTTCTTTTTCCTCCCGCGTTCAATGAAATCTGCTCCCCGAGTCTGCGTTTGATCTGCCGCGGCCAAAAATAGCGCGAATGGTGTTGCTTCCCGAGACGCGCACATGTCACTTCGACAACGGGACTTTCAGTCTTTGCGAACCAGTTTCTGTTGCCATAGTGACCACTCTTGTGTCCTTGTTTCCTCAGGTTTTACACTGTGAATGTGCGGCAGCAGTCAGACACCACAGTCATTTCTATCGAGCGACAACAGAGTAGGAAGGCGTCTATTAAAAACTGTTTTAATGCCGGCAGTTCCATCAGCGATGCTATCGCCCGCGTAAAGGCCAGGAAGCATGCGGTGGGATTCCTCATTAATACAAACACAGACGCGCAGAGAGAGAGAGAGAGAGTTTTACCAGGCAGATGTTGACCTGATTATTGTGGCGAACACGACAGCTAATATCCTTTTAGGGATGTTCTACTGAATGCACTCAATCAAAAGGGAAAAAAAGAAGCTGAGAGATAAACAAATGGCAGTGATTCATGTCCTGAAATGTTGCTTCATGTTGTGTTTCAGAGGAAAGTCATTCTCAACATTCTTTGTGACGCAAATTCTGATACTGTCACATGCACAGTTAAATAGCCTTATTTAGCTTTTTGACATTTAAGAACCATATTTTTGTTTGGGCAAAACTTCTGATTCCAGCAAATCAAAGTGGAGCGAATAACTCTGGACTCTCTTCTGACACTGACCTTTTTCTAGAGTTCATCCGAGTTGAGGTTTGTACAGTCGCCAAAGTTCTGCTCATTGTGGGAACTGTTGGGTTCCTCTATAAATTTAGAAAATTGAACTGAATTTAATGCCATTGATTTTGTTTAGATAAGTGCAATTACAAATTAGGTTATTATTATTATTTTTACATGCAGACGGAGCTAAATATGGGCATCAGCACTGTTTGCTGTTGGTTAATTACATGCTGTTCAGCTCTCTGAGCGGAGCTGCCGACTATCAGACGTCTCAATCTGTCTCCATAAACCCGGCGAGCTTCCCCTGTGTCTGCCGTCCAGCAGTTCTAATGCAGGACAACAGAAGTCTATCCTCAGATGCCTCAGTGGTTTGAATTGCATTTATTTGTCCAAACAACCGCAACAAAATCAGTGCATGTAATTATAATGTATTTTTCACCTTATGAGCATGTACTGATTGAGCAGGCAGCTGGGTTCAGCGTTGAGGGTTATTAAATTAAATAGCTATATTCATCCTCTCTTATCTGCCAAATGTGTTTTTATTAAATGATAAATAGTTTTAAATAACTTACAATAGTGCACAAGGTAATGCCTTTAAATGTTCAAAATCCGATAATATCAAATTTACTAGAGCGAGACCGACAAATTCTCACATCAAATATTTGTCTTTTTTTTATCTGCAATTTCTTAAATTATCAACTGATTATCAAATTAATTTTAAATCAATTTTAATTTTGCTCAATTATTCAATTGATAAACTTTCAAGACATAAAACAGGTGCCTCCCTAATAAAATAAAATCATTATTCAGGTAACTTTAGTTCAAGAGAGCAGGCAGAGTTATGACGTCCACGCTGAAGACGCTGCAGTACGATAAAACCTCTGCTGCTCTGTTCATTACCATCATGATGGATGGCAGCTTCACGCAGTGATCGATGAACCAACTGGAACTGTTCCACAACTATGTTCACTGTCAATCACTGTGATATAGTTTTTTTCTTTTTTCTTCACCACTTCATCGTTTCTTTAATTAAATGTGACAAAACAGACAAAACAGTAGAAACTGCAGAGAAAAGCAGCAAGAAACGAGGTCGTGTTTGATGATTAATAGGTGGATGGATAGATGTGTGTGTGTTGTGGGTTCAGAGACCAACACAGGGATAATTAATTGAGCTGCACCAAATTTAACCCACTCATAGATCAGCTCTCCGTTGACTATTACTCAGGAAATTGGTGAAAACAATGTCAAAGAAAGTGAAAAACAATTCCTGGATCTGCATCAAAAATGTAATGAGATCTCCCCCGAAGTTCTGTGGTGATTCATCCAGTAGTTTCTCTTTGTGAATGTGAATGATGGATAGATTGATGCCTCCAGAGCAGATAGGATGATAGACTGACACCTGCATACTCGATTGTAGAGTTTATTAAAACGCCTGAGGGGAGGACGCAGAGAGAGGAGGGTCTCTAAACGGCCCAGAGGAGCGGCTCCTAAATGGCTGCCGTGATGTTGTAAAGGGCAAAGTAGCAGCATGGAGGAAAGGGAGACTAATGAAAATGGAAGCTTTGTGTCCTCAGAGGATCAACAGCATCACAGGGTCACTCCCGAGCTCACACAACACCTGGGGAGTATAGGGTCTAAATAAAGTACGAGGCTCTTTAGGATATTATCTGTAAAACATGATGCTTAAAGCAGCAGCATCATAAATGTTTGTCCCACAGTGTCAATCTCTTACTTTAACGCTGCTTCAGATGTGTATATATTACAATTTTGTACCAGGTTATCACTCATTTGTCAAACCACCCCACTGTTACTTTCTATATCTGCTCCTGAGCTGCACAAAAGGTCCTTTAACAACCAGTTGCCACTTAATTCAATTGTAAATCTCGGGGCTGCGGCATCTGTGCATTACTGTGTGAGCGGTCATCAGCTCCTCTCCAATCACCGGTGACTGTGGGAGCTGTGTCTGAGCCGTTGCTGGGACACGATTATAAACACAAATGTATACAAATGTGATATCTGTGTGGTTTTAAACTCCAGTGAACTTCCTCAGCCCCTCCGGGGATCCTTTCACAAACTGTCTTTTATCCAACAATTTAAATTACACAATGTAAAAAATCACCTGAATCACATTTCTGCAATTATGCATTATGAAAGACATTTAACAGAATTACAAGATGAGAGATTGGATGGCATTTTATTTACGAGACCTCGGGGAAATGTGAATGTGAAAATGCCAAATGTTCAGCAACAAGTGTGAGTTAATGAATGACTGTATGTTTATTTTTTCTGTTTACAGCCTCAGCTGATGCAGAGACACCGAGGGAAGGTTATGTTTAATCACATCTAATCTGCTCTGTGTTTAAAACAGCTGGAATCGCTGATTATAACCATAGTAATACATCAGTGAGATCTATCGAAGAGCGAGGGGTGTGTGTGTGTGCGTGTGTGTGGACTGTCTGGATAGAAGTCCGTCTTCCTGTTTCGTGAGAGCCAGAAATATCATCTAGACTCTTTGTTTTGTTTCCTCGGGCAGCTCTCAGACAGGGACTGTACTGTACACAGTGGAATTGCTTGTCAGGCGAGGTGAAGCGAGAGACGGCAGCAGCCACGTTATGAGCTCTCTAACGTCGTGACTTGGCCTTTTCACTAAAAGAGGGAGAGGATGTACAATTACCGGGGAAACGGGAGAATATAACGAAGACATGAGACAAGACTGGTTGTCGACGGTGGTTAGTGTGATGAGAATCCTTAGACCTAGAGTAGAACAGGTGTGGCCTGGAAATTCAAGGCCAAATATTTTTGTATTTACGGAAGAAATGAACGCTTATCTCTGAAATTATATATATATATATGTATATATATGCTCATCATCTATGTGTAGACACAGGGTTGAACACTGAATAGTATAACTTTCTTTACAATGTTCTCCAAAGTGAAGTGGAAACAATCAGACCAGATGCAGAAAACCTCATGCATACGCTGCCCTCCTGCACGTTTGGAGCGATAGTCTGCACGGCAGCGATTTGGGGATGCAGCACGTCTACTTACGTTGTCAAGCCGTTGTCAAGCGTTAACAAGAATGATGACGAGACAAAGCGCAGCACCATGTTTCACCGAACCATCTTTTCAGCCATCTGGTTTCCTCTGCAGGGGCCCTCAAACATTTAACCTCCACTCAGCGCGGCGGTTTGTCGACTGTGATGCTGTTTGATATTTAACGTTCAGGCTTCGCTTTAGTGCTCCTTTAAGTGACATATTAACAAAACACACGGCTGTCCATGATATAAACAACAGACGAGATTAACTTTTTACCACACAAACACACACACACAATGATGTTCAAACTATTTCTCCACAAAAGCTTAAAAAAGTCGTTTTTATTTCTTGCACTGACCCAGAAAAACCGTCCTATCCCCCAACCACTCTAAAAGTCATTGAGCGCTCTTTTAAATGTTGATAAATGTTAGATGAGTTTAAATGAGACAACAAGAATCAATTCCTCTAAAAAGCCAATCGACTAATGTGTCACAACGTCGGCCGCTCAAGTGTTTAGTATTTATTTCCATTAGGGGGCTCCATAAAGTAAGACTGTCATTTTGAGGGCACAACATTAGCATGTGAGCATCTTCTAACATTTACAATCCTTTCTTTGTATTCTCACATTATTATAGATGTTTTCAATGGTTTGACGAGTCTTACAAACCCGCCATGTAATAAATGATCCACGGATCAAAACATCCACAACAAACATCCACTGCTGAGTTCTCAGTCTCGCTCAAGGACGCTTTATTCTGCCACATGCTTTCCGACATAAGGAGCGAAGCAGTCGTCGAACAGTCGTCGCTCAGAGCGCCACTACGTGCACGTTTTCAGGAACACTGAGCATCGACCTGGCAGTGAAATGGAAAACCAGTGTTTCACTGTTGAACTGCTGATCGGTCACAGCAGCGGCTGAAACGTGCTGATGTAAAGCGCTGCTCGCTCTAACGGTGCGAACACAGTGCTGATGTTAAATATTACACACGAGACCAGATCAAACACCGACTGGTTTACAGCTCATGTGTCAGGTGCAAAGAAAACGTGTAATCCATAAGACAAAAAAAATAAAACAGCAATGAAACTTTTCGTCATTGTGAATATAAATGAATAAGTATATATTATGTATTTTTTTATTTAGTATTCGGTGGTGACTTTATATCCGCAGAGGAGCCATGAATACTTGATTCAGGCTCATTCTGTACTGATTTCTGATTATTTAAGTAGAGCGATACCTTAGTGGGCAGCTTTAAAAATAGTTAATATGTATGTGCAGTGTGGTGTAATTATCGGGCTCCCCTGTGTGTTTTAACAGTCTGGTTATTTCACTACAATAGGACCCATGAAAGCAGACTTCGGCTTCTTTTCATGGTGCACAGCTAATATTAAATGTAATAATGGGATAGTTGTTTTGAATGTCCAGTAGTTGCTGTGTCGGTTTGCTTGTTGAAAACTGGCTTTGGTCTCCAGTGCAACTTTGATTCTTAAACGTTGAATGAAAAACACCAACGCGGTCGCTTCAACACTGTTTTACGCAAATATGCCACTTTAGAGAAATGACAGTGTGCACGAGAGCCATCATCGTAACTCGCGTGTCACGATGTGATGAGAATTCAAATTTTGAAAATGCAAATTGCCTCCAGCCTCTGATATCAAATACTCGCCATCAAACCCCGATCCACCGGAACTAGAGCTGCCATCCTCACATCTCACACTGCCAATCAGATAACAGTGCATATTACATATATGGCTCTTGGCAGGTGTTGGTTGAATCACTCTTTGTGTGTGTGTGTGTGTGTGTGTGTGTGTGTGTGTGTGTGTGTGTGTGTGTGTGTGTGTGTGTGTNGTGTGTGTGTGTGTGTGTGTGTGTGTGTTTTGGATGAACAGGATATCTTGCTGCATCACAAAATAACAACAGTGACTCTGAGACCAGTCTAAACTAAAAGAGAAGCCTTGTGTGCTCCGATGTGGGACGGATGTGCTGCCATCAAATTGCTTCTTGTGCTCTGAAACACAGTATTTGTCTAAATGACTCATTGATTGTGACGTTCGTCAAGCACAACAAAAATAAAACCATATCAAAAGAATCAGTCAAAAGAGAAGATCTAAAATATTTTAGATCGATCTCCTAAAAGACTCCCTCCGTCCACCGTGCTTTGCAGGACACAGCAGTGCGTTGATCCGATCGTCACTGAGAGAAGTTACGTAAGTGATTCACGGCTCTTTTGTGTGCGAAAACAACACAACAGTTGTGACACCCCCTCTCAAACAATTAGAGAGATCTCGCATCTCGAACAAATCGGAAAGTTATAAATGGATGGACTGTATTCAAACAACAAGTTACATCCACCCATACATTCATACAGCGCTTATATACGCTGTATATCATCCGTCCAGCACAGCCGTCAGTGTCTTGCCCGAGGACACTTCTGCATGCAGACTGGAGGAGACGAGGATTTAACCGCTGTGAACGACCCGCTCTACCTCCTGAGCCACAGCTGGCCTTCGAATGCATTGCCATCGACCAGATAAAAACTCACCTGGTCCTCGAAGGACAAGGCCTGTCCGACATCTCGAGGGAACCCATCTATGACGATTCCATTAGCGTCGGGGGTCTTCATAATCTTCTGCTTGATCTCGGTTATCGTGGTCTCCTGCGGAAGAAAAACAGACAAGATTCATGATCATCATCACTTGGTGCCTCGGTTTGTGTTTACATGTTTAAAGAGCGATAGAAAAGATGTTTACTGCTTGACAACCACTATTTACCACATTTGTAAGGATTTCATTCAAATACTGATCATTACAATTATCTCACCAATTAGCCAGATGCTTGGAGTTCTGGCTAATTGGTGATTCCTCAAATTTAACATTTAACTTTGTCACGTTGCAATTGCCAAGTTTTCTTAGAGACGAGCTGATGTCATGAGGCATGTCTGCCTATCAGCTTTTCAATCAAAAGCTTGAAAGACGTAATAGGTTTGTTGCTGCAGTTCCCAGAGTATAAAAATAATAAAAAGTAGTGAATGATTAAAAGCCCTTTGGAAATTAAGCTGATTTAGAGTAATAATTACTGTGAAAATGATAAAAAACTATGATAGCACGTTGGATAATCATCCTTAATTATACATAATAACATAATTTGTCTGTTTATCCAGTTGCACGTTAATATTTCTGAATGCAGCCGAACGATTGTCTCGAGTGCACTCGAGGGCAGAGTGCCAGCATCTTTCATCATCGTTTACTTCCTCGTGGCTGGAGGAGGTCACCACGTACGAATGTATTTCTCCGGGCGGAATGCATCATACGATATGGCAGAGATACGTGAGCAATGCTCTGGTCTAAAAATAACATCCGTGTTCGTGGCCAACAATGACTAACACAGACATTTAATTTCCCTCCTAACCGCAGAACGGGAGCAGTCGGGCCCAGCGGACTACGCAGGGATTACAGCCAGTCTTGGTTCCATCAAACAGATTAATGCATGCAGGTAAAGACAAAATGAGAAAAGCTAATCTAAGAAAAGCCCTCTGCTCGATGTCTGAGCTGTCTGAACACAAGGCATCGGATGATCATCTCTGAAATTGACTGATAGAGACGACCTGTCGACAACAATAACCCAGCAATCACACAGACAGACACAGCCACAGAGTCATCATTAAATTCCAGATCTCTCCCTTGTTTCACACATTCACTGCTCCCTACACGGAGCACACTCAGCACTGTACTTAATGTTGAGCTGCAAAATGAGATCTGGGACACTCAGGAACCATCATCAGTTTTAATACAACGCTGGCTGGTGCAGTGTTGAAGAATTGTGATGTTGCATCAAAAACGGGAGCAGCATGGCATTAGGGGTTATTGGTATAAAGTAGATGACACGGTACAGACAAAGATGTCATACGGTATAAAGCCAAGAGGGAATGAATACAGACACAACCTGACTCTTGGAGGAGGCTTCAGTTATCAGTTAATTTCATTATCAGTTAATCTGCCATCTGCACCTCCTCACAGTCAGCTCCTCGATCCACTGGATCCCTTTGCTCCGTGACCCCCTGAACCCTGGGTTCCCCCTGCACCCCCCCCCCCCCCCTGCCTCGGTATGACAGTTTACCTTTGTTTCTGTACGGCACATTTGTCATTGTCATTCAATAATTTATCGTTACTGTCAGCCTGCGTTTCTGTGATGTGCTTCTGTAAAGTGAGTGGAGCCACAACACTGGATCCTCCTGAACCCATGTTTACATAAAGGGAGAACTCTGAATAGAAGCAAGCGCACTGTCTGTCTTTAATTTTAGACCAGTGGGACGTCCAAGAGCCTCTCATAAGAAGTCCATTTGCTCGTTGGCTGACAGTGATGCCTTGTATTTACTGCATTTTGCAGCACTCTGGTTCACAGATGAGCACGGTCACAGTCACTCAGACTACAAGAGGAAATAAAAGGAGGATTTCTTCCCCCTCAAGTGTTCGTCTTCTTGTCTAGAGGAAGATGGGAAAATTGATGCAGCTCGTTGCATATTTCATATTAAAGCTTGTCTTAAGAAAAAGACTGAAAATGGAGCTGAAACCACTGATTTGGCTCAATCCACAAAAGCCTTCTCTTGATGTGTTTGGTTGTTAGATCAACAAACCGTGAAAAACCTAAGTTGTATGTTTATATGGGTGGTTGTGATCCAGACTGTCTCCTCAGGTCTGGCTCCCTGTCCCTCCATTTGTCAGGCTTCATGCCAAACTGCCGAGCTTTTAAAGCACCATACAAATTAACTTTATTAAATAAATAGGGTTCAAGGTTGAAGTCACTTGAAGTTGTTGGTTTGTGCATTTACACGATGCTTCTACACAACATGTTCTGGTTCTGGTTGGGTCTGGTGCAGGTTTGGATGACCCCGGTCTACGTCCTGAGCAGAAAACACATGGTTTGCTATAGAAAAGGCTGAGGATATATTATGGGCTTAAACGTAATCCTTCATAATGGTTGTGTTTTGGTCGTCTCTTTGTCCTTGGACATGTTGAACACAGCCTCCATCATTGTCTTGCAGAGAGTATATGCTAATGAGACAGAACAGCGTCCCCCTCCCAGCACGCTTGTGATATGGATGCTGATAATTAGCCCCCTATTACAGTCACGCTGTGATAATGACCTGCGAGTGACTGGACACACTCAGCGCTGATCCCTCTTATGTTCTCCCCCACTACACACACACACACACACACACACACACACCCCCTCTCCTCTCTTCCTCTGCTACCTGCGGTGCCAGCTCTCCATTGGTGATGATTTTAGCAATCAGGCTCCACTTTCTGTTGCTGGTGGCGTTGTGGATCATCTTCTTCCTCAGCAGCTCGCCCACGGACACGTACTGGAAGCCATAGCGCTCGGCAATCTTCAGGCTCTGTGTTCCTTTGCCGCTGCCAGGGCCACCTAGGCACAGAGGGAGAGCTGTTGATGTTTTGGGAGAGAGAATGAGTGCATGTGTGTGTATGTGTGTGTGTGTGTGAGAGAGAATGTGAGAGTGTGAAACGTTCGGCATGTGGGTGTGTTAGCGGAGGCGCATGTGTGTATTAGTGAGAGAAACTCAGACTATGTGAGACTTTGTGTGAGTGTGCATGATTTCGCTTGTGTTTTTTGTGTTTGCTTGACTGTGTGTTGCTGCTTGTGTGTTGTGTGCATGCGGGGGAGAAGTGCACGTGGGGGGGGGAGATGAGAGGAACAGGTATGTGTGAACCTCCTACATTCGCTAACAAATCCTCTCCTTTTTTCTCTCTTATTTCAAAAGGAAAAAAAGGATTGTGCAGAGGAGTGATGACAGGAGGAGAACGCGGCTTCACGCTGCATTGTTCGACTCGTCCACATGTCGTGTTTCTGCGACAGAATTAAAACAAATCATTCAATTTAAAAGTTCCAGATATCAGCAGCGACACATGTGATCATTTGAAATCACCCTCACTTCAGGGAATCCAATTATAATCAATAATATGTTTGGGGCGGTAACGACTTAACGGTAAGCTATGTGAGGCTGTCACTTACTGAAAGGCCCGTTCGCAGGTAAGTGCCTGTAAAAGCCATTTGACGACCTGAATGCTGCTTCGCTGATTGACGGCCACTATCACCATAGAAATGTCAACCGCTCAGAAAGTGCTTCCGGTTGACGGCCAGGTCTAAGTGAAATGAGTCTGGGAACAAGCTGTGCCGTCGGTAGTTCAGTCCGCCTGCACTCCATTCATGGTGCTGCTGTCAGAATTTATTTTTCCAAGGGACGAGGAGTGAAGGGAATTGTTGCAAGTGATTGCCAAATATTTTATCTGGGAGGATTTAAATGAGAATATCAAGTTCTCACAGCAAAGTGATGATAATTTGTCTCTACAAGATCTGCTGAGTTCCACGTGATGCTTGTAACTGTGTTGAGCTAGTACACAGTGTTCCGCTTGATGTACGACTGGGATTACTAATTCTGTGACCTTGACTCTTGACCACTAAAATCAGTTAAACCCCAAGTCAACCTTTGTGCCATAGACTGTAAATAAAGATGGACGACGCGTCTCCTCTTCCTCCAGTTATCCAGGGATGAAAATATCCCGGATACAAACGTCGCTATCGAGCACATTTAGAGCCAGAGTCTGTGCAGGTGCGATAAGGGGACGATAGAGTGGGTTCGGACGTTACACACGCTCGGCCAACCGTGAGTCTGTCTCAGCTGTCAATCACGAACAAGTACTTTTTTTTGAGGTGGGCCTGGGCTTCACTCTTGGGGAGCTGTGATATCGTCTGTCTTGATATAACGTCTATGTTCATTCACCGAATTTGGAGTAATTCCCCCAGGGCGTTTCTATGATACGTATTTCCCATGAGTGGGACAGATGGACAGGCAGACAGACGGACAGATTGACGGGGGGGGGGGCAGATGGATGAACAGCCTGAAGACAAAATGTCTGTGGTCGTGGCGTCTGCTGCAGCTGTGGAAGTGTAAAAGTACCTATAGATCAAATCAAATATTCTAATGTGATTTAATATGTACTCTATATCCTACAGCTTGGTGTGTTTTGTTGTTGAGCGTTCGAGCCCGGCCCTCTCTACTGACCACACGTGTCTTTGTCAGTCTGTGTCTCCCTGTGCTAACCTGACAAAACATTCGCCATGATCCTCCGAAGAGATGACAGCTGCTGCCATCCTGTTTCCCCTTTAAAATATAGGCCACAATGAGCTCACTAAGACAAGGTTGGAAGTGGCTTTGTGCTGAGAGGAAACAACATTATAAACAGTGTGAACATCCCAGGTACACAGCAAGAAGCAAAACACGCAGAACTGTCAGCAGGTTGTTTTTTTTTTTAAAGCTTTAAAAAGACTCTGAGGTCATTTTCTTGCTTATTTAAAACTTTAAGTGAAGTATTTTAAACAGCGTTTATAAATAGCAGCCTCTCTCCATCCAAGCTCAACCAGTGTCATTACTCTTATTATGCAGCTGCCGTGCTTAATTTATGAGTTTAATGAATGTATCTGACAGGGTAATGCAGGGCGCATCGAGGAAATCAGATTAGGAGTGTGTCACAACACGCAACCAGATCCTCCCCGCTGATACAGAGAGAGGTGAGTTCATATATATATATATATATATTCAAATACCAGGATAAAAAACGTACTAACCTTAAAACATGTCTTCCCCTTAAAATGTAATGATTTACATCATGGGGACTTGGTTATGCTCCTTTAATGGGATTGACACACACACACACACACACACTCCCTCAGCTGTTCCCATCCAGGCTGTGTATTTTTAGATAATCAGTAAAGCAAACATAAACTTGTATTCTGTGTTTTTGACCTCGTATCATGTATCAGACTCATCAGAAGCAGTGAAGAGACACTGGCTGCTTGTTTTGTTCTGTTCACTCATAAAAGCTTCTGCGCTGCTGCTGCTTCTTATCTCGTGGAAAAACATTCAAGGAATCCAGATGAGGACTTCAAATCAGAAACATGATCAGAGAAAATGACGGCGTCCTTCGTATGTCACTCAGTGTTTCCTCATTTTTGTGTTGTGTGAGGTCGGATATAAGTGTAGTTCTGATGTTTGTTGTTTTTGCCCGTTGTGTTGCAGCTTTACCGATGACGAGGATAACTTTGGGCCGTGGTCTCGACGGATCGAACACCTCGTACTCCTCTATGAGCTCCGCCGTCTCCGACAGGTCTGAGTCACTTTCGATGGAGAACTGGCTGATGGGAGGGAGGCGGTCGTAGCGTCTGTAGGGGAAATTGGGACTGTCGGGCAACACTGTCGCACACACAGACACACACACATACAAAGGTATTAATGAAAGCAATTGTACCATAATTTGATGCTTAAACGTGCAGCTGTCACTGCATTTTTAAACACTGACAATCTCATTTCACAACAAACCTGTTAAAAAAAAATAAAGACATAAATCTGTGCGTGCGATGAATTCAGAGACGGTTCATTCTCTTTGCCAATTACACAGCTGTCTCTTGTGATGTAATCGATTAAAACACATTCAATAAAGACAGAGATCATCAGTGCATGTTATTACACAGGAGCAGAATGTATCTCATCACGCTGTATTTTAATTGTAGTGCTGATGCATCAGTCATGGAAATGTAGGTTTTGTTGAATCGAAGGAAAACAGAGGAGCGATAAACGATTCAACAAACCACATCAAAAACTGTTGTAGAGATGAAAACTATTTAGAAAAACACTGAAATTTGTTAAATGGAACCTGCGAGCTAGTTCAAGGCAGCCACCTCGAGCTGCGCTGCTCTAATCACGTGACACACATCATGTGACACACCTCGTTCTCCACAATCATCTATTATACACACCCACCTTGTGTGGGGGGGGGGGTTGACAAGTATTTGCGCGTCATATTTGTGTAATCATATCCGGGGGAGTGATTAAGTCTAGATGCCAAACACAACAAACCTGTTCTACTGCTGCAATAAACATTTGAACGTGAGTTGTCTGACTGAATTACAGATAACGCTGCTCCCCATTTCTAACACGTAAATCCGACAATCAGGAAAATGAATTTAGAGAGAAGAGGCGTTGTTTTAAAACTCGGAGCTGAGAGGAATCACAGCGCGTGGAAATCTTCAGCCCTGATGAGGCTGCAGCTCCCAGCAGCTAAACCGTGCAGCTGGCAAACATTACAGGCATCGTTGGCACAAAATAACAAGAAGCAACATGATGGTGAATTTCTGCGAGCAGGAGTCCTGCGTGTGTTTGATAAAAATCATCTATGTGCAGCTGCGTGCTGTGAGAAACACGCCTGTAAACAAACTTCTCATTAATGCACACATTACTTTATTACCTCTGCCAAGGAGTTTGTGTTTTCTTCATGTGAAAACTCACCACCATCAATAACTTTGATAATTTGTTAAGAATTTACATTTTAAGTAAATAATGTGCCTGAACAAAAAACTAATTTCAACAGTAAATGAAGAATGACTTAAATGTGCACCTGACTGAACCAGGTAGTGTACAACGGTGTTGGACATACAAGTGGCCCCTTCATGGCCCCTGATATAGAAAAATCATAGATCACTGCTCTCATAGTCAAGCTCCTGTGTTATTTCTGCCGCCCATCACTTTCTTCCTCAAACAGACATAAGATATCAATGCAAATGTTGTTGTTAGCATACAAGACGCAGGTGAGACTCTGCTTTGCAAATTTGAAACAAGTTTTGCATCTGCAGTGTCAGTTACACCTGCTGTAAACCTCAGCTGGAGTCCACAGTGATGAATGGAGCGGCTGCAACGACCAGTGTCCAGATTAAAGATTAATTTCATAGATGCAGACGTGTTTGACCTGCATTGTAACGGACAGTCGATTCATCTAAAGCAGCACAGGGATGTTCTGGATTCTGCCTTGGAACATGAAGGGGTCACCTCTGGAATTTGTCGCTGGTGTTTTGGACATGTTGTGTTTGTGGGTGTTCAGGCTTCTGGCACTAAATCTATGTGAGAGAAGTGATGCACGCAGCTGAGCCTCACGAAAAAAACCACACCGAACAAACCAAAGGACAAAAACAAACAAAACTCTTATCTCGTCTGGCTCAAAAACTCTGCCGTTACCTCCAAGTACAACAGTTTGAACAATGTGTCTTGACTGGGCTCGTGAGGGCGTAACACAAATGTCAACACCCTTATCCTGTTGAAACAATGAGCTATTATGGTCTTGAGATGTTGCACCGTGACATTAGCTCCACGCTCACCATTTCTGAAGAGGGACCTGCGTGATTGGCCCCCGTTGAGAGGGGGAAGGGACTTCTTCTCCTGGCCCACAAAGGTGTCCCATCGCACCTTGTCTGGTCCTCCCAGCTCCCTGACTTTCATCAGACAGGCCTCCAGGTAGTCGATGGGGTCATCGGGCCGGTAGTACATCAAACCTGTCAGCAGGCTCTGAAGAACACAGACAGGGAGAATAAGTGTGAGGGCTTTGTTGTAATGATGTGTTGTTTCTGCAGAGAGGCGGCAGAGAGCAAGCCCGACTTAATGAAGTGCAGAGCTGGTTGCCTAGGCTCGGCTCCGGCGGGGGATCAACACATCTCATTCTGTCAGAAGCCCATGAAATCGGACTGAGCTCGGCGAATAAACGCAGCCCGCCAACGACCTGTTATTTTAATCGTGGAGGAGGACTAACCAGGGACTGTGGTGAATGTGAGAGGTCCCCATGACCCGGAATGTTTTGAAACAAAAGCATCCTCCGGGACTTCATCTCCAACCTCCTCGCTTACAACTCCCACCAGCAGGAAAAACAAAAAGCGTCTCTCAGCTGAAAACCAGCGGCATCGAAGCTGATGGATGATAAATACGCAGTTATTATGATAATGTGTCACTTTACTGCTCAGTGTAATTTGAACTGCCTGTAAATAAACAAGCAGTGATTGTCTGCACACATTAGCTGCTCTGCACTCAGATCTGGCTCTAATTAAGTGGCTGAGCCAATTTAGTTTCCCCTCAGGAAAAAGAAGATTATATTTCATTATTACATATCTGTAAGTTATTATACTGTGTCTGTCTGAGGTGGATTAAAGTGGGCGTCGGGCTGCACTTTGCCTTGTAGGCAACACCTCTGATATACAGGAATATTCATTTTTAAACCACCTCTCATTCTTTACAGCACTTTCATGTCTGTCCACCACAGATATACCATAGGTGATAAGTCATATGATCACGTTGTCTTTTTTTGTCTTCATGATAAATAATCTGCCAGCTGAGAGCACCTCGGTTAAGAGAAAGCTAATTATGCAAAAGGTGGAGATGTGTGTTTGGTTTAAATACAATCTTAGCCTGATTATAATTGTGATTGTAAAATGTATAAAAACAAGTTTATACAAAATATGAATCAATCCAGAAAATCTGCTTCCATGTTTTCCATGAATAAAGTGGCATCTTTGACACATCATAGAAAATAATCTTAAGCTTGACTCTGACACGCTTTCTGCAAAGCATCGACGCAAACGTGTAAAAAGAAAAAAAAGCCACACCGTGAGATCTGCACACACTGTTCTGCCAGCTCATCCCCACAGAGCGCACACCATCATCCCTCACCTCAAATAGTTGAGGTATCTCCCGCCGCGCGAGGTACTCCTTGGCATCGTTGGTATTCATCTCCCTCTCGGATTTCCTCTGGAATCACAACTTGTCTGCGTCGTTTCTTCTGCCTCTTTCCGGACTCGTGTCAGTGTCGTATGAGGAAACCTCTTGGTCATCAAACCGAGCTCCACGCAGACGTCCCCTCAGCGCATTTTGCCTCGTGTGTGGACTTTCTGGATTCCTGCAGGCTCTGACACCGCACCACCCTCCTCGGTGTTGCGGATGCGCGGCTCGTCCGTCCGCCCTCCTACCGCGCTCTGCCTCCAGCACGCACCGTGTGTGCGCCCTGACGTTGGCACCGAGGTTGCGCGCAAATACGCACGCAGAGTCTTGACTTTGCGTGTTTCACTCGTTCACCGTCAGCGTGGTATTAAAAGTGCATTCGCTATTATTTACTGTTCAATTAATACTTCTACTGTAATGATGAGGGAAATGAGCAGCACTAACTTATGTCATTCAAAATTGACATCCAGTTCATCCACTATGATGTGTGATTAAACTGTCCAACAGGAGATTATTGAATCAATAACATTGATCTAATAACAAAGCAACGTAAGAGAGGGGCCATTCCACATTATGAGCTCTTTGTTAAGTACATTTAGATGCTAATGTGTCTGTGCTTTAACTGAATACAATTTAGAATTCAGCACTTACATTTGTAAATGTATTTTTACATGTTATTAGTGTTCCACCATCAGATCAAATGTATGAAACGTCGTCAACATAAAATCCACTTTCTTTGAGTTTCTGCAGCTTTTATTCTGCTGATTTTGTCCCTGTGTTGTCAGGCAGTTGTTTCCAAGTTACAATTTAATCTTAAAGTTCACAATTTTGATGTAAATGTATAATTTATCATGCAATACATGACATGAATCACTTTATTATCACAACCATAAATCTGCAGTGCCCACAAACACCTCATAGACAGTATTGCAAAAGGTATTTAACTGCAGACATTCAGTGAAGCTATTGATATATACATTTGTTTAGCTGCAGTCAGGTCATGTGACTTGCATAACATTGTATATCTTTATTTTGGGTTATACATAACAGTTCAGAAGGTGACCTCTGTTTGACATGATCTCCAGAAATACGCCCAATTGAGTTCCAGCTTTGTTCCATAGGATTAGATCCTAATTTGCCACTAATCCCCTCGACAACTGGACAGCTGACTTTGAGTCTCCTTGTTGGTTTTATCACAGGACAACATTAGATCAGTTGAAAGACACAAGTGTGTTAGAAGGGATGATCATTATATCCGAATAACATTTCATGCACAAGAGAGGATCAATTACTTGCGAGGATAGAACAGCCTGGGAGTAAAATGCTAATTTGAAAATAGAAAGATGATTAAATTTATGCCACTGAGAACTGGTTTGTTGGAGCACCATCCTTGATTTTCCATTTCCTTATTGAATGCATTTGGAGGAGGACATTACAGTGATGAGTTCTGTGATGCTGCAGGTCAAAAAGCAGGAGACATCCGCAGAATTAAAGTGGTTGACAAACTTGTACATGCGCCCTTTGGTGTATCAAGCCTGATGTGGTTGCTGCTTTTCCATATCTTCCACTTGCTTTGCTGCAATGTTACATTAGAATTGCATGAAGGACATGTTTTTTTCATTGCTTCACTGTATGACAGGGCTCTGAGGCACTCAGAGGATACAGCAGCAACATAACATGCATTTTGACATCTGCTGCCTGTGTTGTCCACGTCACTTCTCATTACTGAAGCCCACACCAATTAGCTGGAGAGGGAATTTGAACGTGAAGCTGTCAGCCCCATTTCATGTCCAATCTGTAATTTTTTCTTCTCTTGTCAGTGTATCAGCCGTATCTGACCAAATGGTGATTTGCTAAATTAGACAGGCAAAAAACATGCTGCCAAACAGATTCAATCAGATTAAATCAGAAATATATATTAAGATGTTTATATCAATAATAACAATGTGAATTGTACCCATCCTTGTGCAAAGGGGAAAATGCCTTATAATTATGCCCTCAGGTAACTAACATTCATGCCATGCGTATTTATGTTATGTACATCTATCTGTCATTTGTGTTTGCTTCTCTCTTGCACAAGGACTGAGCAAGCTTTTATTTTATGTAGATTTACTGTACATCACTGGTATTATATAAGATATTCAATTTCATTTTAAATCAGGGACAAACTGACATCGTTTTATGATCCACAGTGACACCTTTAAATGGGGATGATTTACTCCCTCGTCCTTAAAATGTCCTGGAACATGAGGAGCAGCTCACTTCCCCCCAGTTTAAAAATGAATCAACACGCTCAAACCTTTGTTTTGAAAGTCCTCTCGCCGGAAGCACTCGCTGGGCGGAGCCACCGGTTTCCTCTTCCTGGTTGCGGCTCGTTAGCTGCTGCTGCTGAATGAAAATGTTGATTTTACTGAGTTTACTCTGCTCGTGTCTGTTCGTGAGCAGCTCAAACATCGAGGTGAGTGTTTGGTTTTCTAATCGGACTCTAAACATCTCAACACTTACTGTGTTTAACGTTTGAAATAACCCAAAATGTCGCTCCCACGTTAGCCTGCTATGCTAGCTTGTCACCGGTCTGCGTTGTTTATAACCTTTGCTGATTCTGTGATGTGAAGACACGTGTGTGTTTTGTCTCCTCGTGTTTCTCAGGATAATGTGGGAACCTTCTTCAGCAGCGGTCACACTAATAACTGGGCTGTCCTGGTGAGCGGTCGTCGATGCTACATCTTTGCTAGTTGACATGCTAATTGTTTTTTTTTACTCATTAGAAATAATCTGCCTCCCCTCCCTTCAGGTGTGTACGTCCAGATTCTGGTTTAATTACCGTCATGTGGCCAATACTCTGTCTGTGTACAGGAGTGTGAAGAGGCTGGGAATCCCTGACAGGTACCTGATGAACATGTCCCTATTTAGAATGACGATAATATTAATAATGTGAAGAAGAAGAATTGTTTTTTTAATTGATAAATGGTTGATTTGTTGTCCAGTCATGTTTGAGGAACAGACACTTCTATTGTTTACTCTAATTTAACTAGTTAATCTAATCCACTAATTTAAGTAATTTCATGATAGATTGATAGTTTCAGTAATTTTAAAGTAGCTTGTTATGATGTGTATTTTATATTTTAGTGTGTGATTATGATTTGATGATATTATTATTATTGTTATGATGCAAAAACAGTGAAATAATGACACATTTTCAAATTATATTCTGCACAGGAAAGAGCCAGTTAAGTTTAGTCTAACTCTGGAGACTCCTCACCTTCTGTGGAGGAGGTGCATGTGTGCATGTAAATGTCTGGATCCTCTGCTGGCTTCACAGCGAGAGAATGAGGGGGTTGATTCTTCTCTGAGCACAGTCGCACACATTGTAAAGTGCAGAATATTTAAATTACTAGTGATAAATGTCCGTCAATAAATTAATAAACATTTCCCTATATCTCCCTCCCGTGCGTTGTATCGACCATTCACAACAGTGCTTTAATCATGCAGTTGGGAGTAAAGGAAACATGATGATTAAAAGACAAATTATATTTAACAAAGGTCTCAGCTCTACTGGAGGGACGCTGCAGTTAAAGTTTGTTGTGCTGCTGTGCCACCAGAATCATTGTGTTACTCCTTTTTATGACTTCATCAAAGGACCAAATATAACTTCAAATAATGTCTCTCCTGCCATGGGGTTACTTAATTCCTGGTTTGTCCATGTGTCTCTTGAGGCCGTTGTCTCTAAACAAACAGAACTACTCTGGTGAACTTTATTGTCTCATAATGTACTTAATTGTATTTGAGTTGGCTATTTCTGAAAGGTTACAGTCTCACATTAACAGCAGCTGCAGTTCACATGGTGGAGTTGTTTGGTTCTCAAACATATTTTTTTTCTTTTTCCCCAGCCACATAGTCCTGATGCTGGCTGATGACATGGCCTGTAATCACAGAAACCCCAAACCCGCTACAGTTTTTAGCCACAAGAACATGGAGCTGAATGTTTATGGTGACGATGTGGAGGTGGATTACAGAGGATACGAGGTTGGTTCTCATCACATGCAGTCTCATTATATTTAGAGATGAATGATTAGCCAAACTAAAAAGATATTTTGTGATATATAAACATGAGTCAAGATTTCAGTGTGAATAGTTATTTATGCATGTTTGAAGTAATGTTCATTCACTTCTTTTGCAAGAGTTTGAACAAGCACATTTTCAAAATGTGTGCTTTTGTGTGCGTGACTGTATTTTAGCTTATGAAGGAGTGTGGACTAGATTTAGTGAAAATAAAATGTTTAAATTATATATCTTATCAAATGCACAGCACAGTTTTTTTTAAATTTCTTTATAAATGCTTAGTATATAACATAACGTACACAGCTGGATATTAGATCCAGGTGTAGTTTGGTATTAGATGTGGTATGATCAACACTTTTTGTCCAGTGTTTGCTCTCTGTCTGTTTACCAGGAAATAATTTGATATCATATTAATCTTTAAATAGAGAAGCAGCCTCATATTCTGTTTGTAATGGACTAAAGCAGAGCCATGCTGCTTTCCCCCTCTTTATCTGTAGTTTGATTATTTACTCTGCTCTGTGCTGGTTATTTAAAAATGAATAAACACAGCTTTTTCGATTCTGTGTTTGTTGGCATGAGGTAACCGATTGCAAGAAAAGCTGATAAATTTGTAGAGAAGAAAATAATGAGTAATTGATTTTCACAGTTTCATTAAAAGATAAGTAGAAATATTTGTCTGTTACCCCTGCAGTGACCCTAGTGATGCAGGTGAAATGTTTAATCATGTTCCAATCTTCTCATTTATACAGTTTAAAGGTTTAATTATATTCACCCCCAATCGTCTTCCAGTTTTATTAATTATTTGTAGTGAATTAGAAAATAAACATTTTATTATTTATCACTTGATGAAAATCTCTTGATTTTGATATCATCTTACAGGTAACGGTGGAGAACTTCCTGCGAGTTTTGACTGGAAGGCTTCCACCCAGCACCCCACGCTCCAAACGCCTCCTCTCTGATGATCGAAGCAACATCCTCATATACCTGACAGGTATGTCAAAGACACATCTACTGTCAGATGCTCCTCTTTCACTCTCATGTTGTTGTTCTTCATCAAAGTGCATATGGCTGCCAGTGCTTTTTAATCTATCTTGTTAGTTTGCAGGTCTAGAACATGTTTTTGCTTCTTACAACAGAGGAGAATGAATCTTTAATAATGTGATTGTTTATCAGGTCATGGCGGGAATGGTTTTCTGAAGTTCCAGGACTCTGAGGAGATTAGTAACGTGGAACTGGCTGATGCGTTTGAGCAGATGTGGCAGAAACGAAGGTAAATATACTGGAAAGTAGCAGAAATGATGAAAAGAGCTTCAACTATTATTTCTTGTAATGCAAGTCCATTTTATTTGCTCTTGCTGCATGCAACAGATATTAAAGATGCATGTGAAACCCAGTTGTTTTTTGGGATCACTCTGAATGACTCTTTAAAACCTTTAGATTCAAAATGTCCTCCTTGGTGAACGAATGTGTACTGAGTGTTTTGTATGCAAGGCTGCATAAGAGCAAATTAACACCAGGCTGAAACGCGGCGTAAAGTGCGTTGCATCTCTAAACTTCCACCGTCACTGAGGATTATGGTTGGATGTGATCAAAAGTGTGTGCACACCCATCAGTGGTGCCACAGGGGAATTGACTCACTGGCCCTGTTTGGCCTTGACAGTGCATTTTATGTTGTAAAATGGCAAAATGTGTGAAACATGAACAACATGGCTGGAAATGCAGCTGATGAGACTGTGTGAGTGAAGCTAAACAGTGACGCTGCAGGCTGTAAAACACAAACAGTGAAGTGAAAGTACCTGGAGAGTTCCACAGAGCTGAGGGGGGGGCTATAGAATCCAGTGATAAGAGTCTGTAGATAAATATTTCATGTCGGCCCTAAAAATCTACGAAATCATGCAGCTGTAGCTCAAAACTTTAGGCAATCCGTAGTGCATGCATCTAAACATTATCTGTGCCAAATTCTATTCTAATAAAGGTAAGAGGAGCAGAGTTAGAGAGGTTTTAGTAGAGTTATGCACAGATGTAATCTCCTGCTGAGATTTCTCACAAACAAATTTATTTTCACTTGTATCTCTCTATAAGTGTTAATTCAATCTAAATACAATTGTTGTCAAGGGAACCAGTGTAAAAGCTCCATATTTATAAAAGCGTTGGTATTGTGTTGAGTCTGACTCAATTCCATAGACTCACAGCTCATCATATACCTCTATAACAGGGAAGGGAATTACTAATATATATATATATATATATATATATGAAGGAGAAACCTCATGTTGCTTTTCAAGCTGCAGCACAGCAAGAAACTAAAGGATCTAAAGCTGCTCCAGCTACATCCAGGGTTACATCCAGGCTGCTGGATAAAAGCTTAGTGACGCCAGCCTCGATACTCATGAGATAATTGCCGGCTTGACTTTGCCACCTCTCTCCACTGTTCACCAACCACCTTGATCCAGTCAACTGGATATGAAAGACTTGTTGTCGAGAAAAAGGTAAAATGAGTTTTCAGGGGAAATTCTCTCGAACAGAGGAAGGTGTGAGGGGAAGGAGAGATTTTCTGTGTGGGTGAGAGAGAGAGAGAGAGAGAGTGGGACTGAATGGTGCAATTGGTTTTTCTTAGTCACCATGGCAGCCACAGCGTGAAAGACGGTGAGAAGGTTTGTGTGATACCTGGGTTTATTGGAACAATCGAGCTCATCAGGTTTCTTTAAGAATGTGTACGATTCCCGTGTGTGTGTGTGTCTCCAGGTACAATGAGCTGCTCTTCATCATCGACACTTGTCAGGGAGCCTCCATGTACGAGAGATTCTACTCCCCAAACCTCATGGCTCTGGCCAGCAGTCAAGTAGGAGAAGACTCCCTGTCGGTGAGATACCTGAACCTCATGAGAGTCACTTGGTTTTATAATAAGCTGTGTGGTTTGAGCTCAAGTTCTGTGTGTTCATATTCACAGTGAGGGAGTTTGTACCAGTCCATCAGTGCAGCTGAAAAAATATGCTGACGTATATTCAATATTATTCTTACCCTTTATTTACCCTGTGTCTTTCTAGCATCAGCCAGATTTGGCCATAGGAGTCCATTTGATGGATCGTTACACATTCTACCTGCTGGAGTTCCTGGAAGACATTCATCCTACCAGCAAAACCAACATGAATGACCTGGTGAGGACATGTGTTAAATAGCCTTTTTAAATATATGTATTTAATTATTTATTTCAAAATTGATTAATGTCTATTTATTTTGCACACAATCACTCCATAGTGTGTGTGCACATGCGTGTGTGTGTGAGTGCATGTAGACATCAGTATCTAGTGTTTATCATCATCAGTTAATCAGTCTGCAGATTGCTCAGTTGTTAATTCAGTTTTAATTTGTTTAATTTGATCTTTAAATGTCAGAAAATATGAGCCATATGAACCCTTTTTTAATTAGTTTGTTAACCAACGGTCCAAAACTAAAAGTATTCAAGTTATATTAATGATATAAACAAAGGAAAATAAATGATTTGCATTTTTACTGAATAAATGACATCATACATCATAGTGTAGCATGTACCATCATTTACCATCCTCCGGCATCACTGCAGTATCTGCACCACTCTCTTCATGTGTCTCGTATTATGACGCTTTGTGGTACTATGAGGGGCCAGATGAAAGTCACACAGGACTCTACACTTAAAACAGAATGCCTGATACTGTGTTGAGGTTGTGGGACTGTGACACACGATGGCAGAGCACGCTGCTCCAGGTTCAATCTCTGCAGCACCTCGCTTTTCATCTTTGACACTCCTGCAGAGATCCACCGGCCCCAGGGACCACTCGTCACCCCCTCCCCCTGCCCCGCCTCACCTCCACAGGGGTTAAAATCAAAACGCCTGAAAACCTCACTCAGGGACTCAGTCCTACTTCAATCAATGTGCACAGACTTTCCTGTTTCTGAAGATGCGCACTTTGTTCTTGCTCTATTTTGTAGAATTTGGATCAATGATATGGATTTCTCTGATGAGCTCAGCAAGTTTTCTTCTTCTTTTTTTTTTTTTCTCGATCCAGACTGCTGAGGCTTTTATTTGATGAAACAGAAATTGACCTTCCCTACAACATCTTTTAGCAGCCGTGTGTCTTTCGAGTGCGTTTGGCTGATAGAGATAACGTTCTCCTCGGTTTAATGATTTAATTTCTCTTTTCAAATTAAGAACCGGGTCGGAAAACACGCTGATGAATCACACACTTAAGAGGATTAACCCACAAGTGGGGACACTGCAGGCACCAAAATTTGTAACTGATGATGACATGCACGAGTCCGAACCTCTAATCTGCTCACACTGTCACATATTCTGACACCTCCCACTGCAGCTCCAGCGATGGTTCGATGCAGTTGGCCACAGTTTGCAGTTGGGTCGTGTGAAAAGGAGGAGGCACAAACTATTCACTGCGCAGTATTAAAACACTCACACTCTGTGTAACTAAAGGCAGTGTGAATTAATTTACTTACTTTACTAATTAATTGCCAATTTGTGAATGGATTATAACATATCTGAAAAAACTTAGACATTCTCCTCTGCAGACTGATTTCCGTGTAAAGCACCCGGGATACATTTTGTGAGAAAATCCAAAGGATGTGACCTTTACGCTCACACCCAAGTGCTTTGTCTCAAAGTCTCTCCTCCTCACACTGTGCAGCATGAGCTAACATTAGCTTAGAAATGGAGTCTGCTAAAGTCACCAAAAGTCAGATTCCCAGCACAAAGCAAAGCAGCTGATCTTTAGAAACTTTTGACTTTGTAGATATACAACATCACTCATCTCACTCCCATCATCTGTTTCTGACATAAGTAGTATTATTCCACCAGAGCCACTCAGTTCAGTAACGCTAAAACTATTCTTAGTTGCTTAATATCTCCAAGCTAAACCTCTCCATAGCTCACATAAGTATTTTATTTGCATGGATGGTTCTAATGACAATGCTGCTAATAATTACTGCAGGATCTGTTGCAATGAGCTGCTTTTTCCTAATCTCACCATTTGTTATTTCTTTGCTTTTCCAGTTCAAAGTGTGTCCCAAGAGTCACTGTGTGTCCACTCCAGGCCATCGTACTGACCTCTTCCTGAGGGACCCGGGAAGTGTCCTTGTCACAGATTTCTTCGGCAGCGTCCGCAAAGTGGAGCTCACCACGGAAACCATCAACCTGACCAGTCCCATCAAGCAAACGGAGGAAAAGTGAGTTGAATGAACTTAGTTAAGATATCATCATCATCATCATTAGCATCATCATCATCAGCAGAATGTTATCACTCAAACTTCTTTAAACTAGTAGACTGATACTGTCAGTCACAGCCATCACATCATAATGCACAACATATGTTATATTGCAAATAACTGGGATAGATGGTAATAATTAACAAACTACATAGTTTTTAAGGTGGAATCAGGGAAAACCAGGATGTAAATGCATTAATTGAGGTCCTCCTCCTTTTATTTCTTTTGAAGTGCTACTGTCCGCATCTGCTTTATGTTTTCTTCCTCTCTTACTTTGCTTCGATTTCTGTTTACAACACCTCATTATTAGTGATATTGATTTTTCTACTAATGATGTGTTGTGTGGCCTTTTATCCCAGGGAGTAAAACACGCTGTGTGTATGTTGCTATGGCTACATTATGGTTTGATGTTATAATACAGCTCATTCGGATTGTTCAGAGCTATAATCTGTACCAATGTGTGTGTGAAGCTTTATTTCACAGTGAGGCTTTAATTCAGTCAGTGGCCCTGAGGGAGCTGCAGTGTTTCTGATTCAGTGTCTCTGGTGCCACCTTGTGACAAACAGGCCGACATGCATCACAATCCACATTTGTCTTTGCATCTTTTGTGTGATGAATGGACTCGACCACTAGATGGCTGTAGCATTAAACTTTTATCATCCTCAGCACATCGTCTCTGTGCCTGGTGACGGACTCACTGCTTTCACACAAAAACACACTCATCCCATAGTAAAAACAGGAGCTTTAGGAAACACAGAGCTGCGACCGATATATTTTACTAGCCTGTATTGCATCTAGCTAAATTGTTGCTCTGCTGGCACACCTGCACACAGGGTTCCTTCATTCTGTTGTGCTTCTGGATGGGAGTTCAGGAGCCACTTTTATTGTGCTTTGCAACACCTTGCTGGGAACTCAAAGGGATGGGGGGGGGGATTGTAACCAGAGATGCTGGTGTTAGTGTGACATCTAGTGGCAGAGTGTGCCACATGTATAACCTTTAAGCTGTGTGTAAAGAATAGATTGGGGTGCTCTATAAACAGATGTGGTAGAAATTAAAACTTTATTCACGATTACCCTCCCTTCACTCTTGTTAATTTCATTAAGATGGGCTTTAATTGAACCACTGGGAGGTATTATAGTCAAAGAATCTAATGTGCTCGGTTGCTAATTAGTAATTAGAGGCAATTGCCATACCGATTTTAGTCACTGCTGTTTTGGCCTCAGGCTAGTTAGTCATTGCACACAACTTCCCCTATTACTTTATTATTGATCAGGGCCAACACATTAGGTTTGCTGATTCCCCAAGCTACACAAAAACACAGCATTCGACTTATCGAGTTGCTTGTTGCCCCATTTCAGTCCTAGAGAGAGACATTTTATCTCTAATTCTGATGCAAGACACCAGCAATCCCCTGATTCTTTTGATGTTAAATGGAGCAAAGTTTAGTGATGGTGCAAAGCAGGAGTAGGACCTCTCTACTTTTAAGAATTTTGCTATTTTGAAAGTTCAAACATTTTAGGGAGACTAACGACACATTCCATCATATTACGAGTCACGTTAGTGATATTTTTAGCCTCATTCGGACAGAAGTAATACAACACAGACGAGGGGAAGTTTTGTTTTTGCTGTGCTTTTCATAGGTAAGGCCACCTTTCTGAACCATGGGCAAAATTTAAGAATATTTTGCAGGAAAACCAAGTCAACATCACTGGTCTCATCTCACAGTTATTGTCAAGAAGGCACAACAAGGTTCTTGTCTCTGAAATTCAACAATAGAACATTTTGCTCTATGTATAAAAAGTACATCTTCCTCCTTACAAACTGGGAAAGACCAGCAAATGTGCCAATAAACAGAAGGTGATAGGGGCTGTAATTATTATTATAATATATTGACACAAAAACATTGGTAACATTTGTTGAATAATAGAATAGAATACAATTTCTTTTTAAATGTGAGGATTTGCTGCTTGTCGCACTTATTAGCTCCCTGAATAAGTTTTGGTTTCAGACTCAGGGTCGGACAAATCACAAATTTAAATATCTCTCAAAGGCTAAGGAGACTTTTTTTTTTCCAGCATAGAATTTATCACCAAACCTAGTTTTTGTCCAAAAAACTCAAGTCTTAGCTCTCTACCCTGTACCAACACATCTGGATCATCTCAGGAATCAATAAGAGGCGACAGAAGCAGGATCTTTACAAGACCTCTGTGCGGATGCTCTCATAAAATTAAATAATAGCATTTCATAAGACCTGAAAATGGGTTGTAGAGAGCTCTGTGTTCCCACAGAGAACAGGTCACAGATGTCCTCTGAAACAAGCTCTTATTACATATATTGCTGCTATAATCCACTTTTTTCTCCAGTCTATCCGGCCACCTACACACCCTGCTTCAGGAGACTGTTCTTTGAGAAGATGGGTACATGTGTGTGCAAGCCTGTCTCTTTATTCTCTGGTCTTCTTTCATTCCCATTCCTCTGTTTTTCTATCTTCTCCTCTCACCCATTTCTAAACAGACTGTGTTTAACAAAAAATGTCTTTTCCATTAAGTGGATGGCACTTGATGGAGAGGACATTTTAATGGATCCCCTCAATCCTCTTCATTATGCATAGGCTTAACTTTAATGACATTGCGCAGTTACCTACTTGGAGCAGTAGGTGGTTGTTGACAAAACACGTCTACCTGCGGGTACACGACTCCCAGGACAATCATAAGAACCAAATTAAAGCTGAGTTCATACCCTGTTGAGTTATGAAGTAATCATAATCTAATTTGTGCTCACAGCGCAGGATAGAGTCTACAAAAACGACTCCGGCCGTTAGTAGGGCAGATGTCAGAAGGAAATTTGTTTGACGTAAAGATGGCAGCTGTGCTACCGGGACTGAAGGGGGAGGAGGGGACGGTCGTTTCCATTAGAATAAGCTAAGTGGACTGAAATCCTCTCCAACAATCTCTTCTGAAAAATAAAGTGCAAAGTGGTTGGAATTGATTTAGAGCTCATGGCTTGTGCTAAGTGAAAGGTGGGGGGGGGCAGTGGTGAGACGTGGGTGCCCTCACTAGGGGCTCGGCGCACATGAAGGGCTCAGCAGGAGATCATCTCCCTGTCTGCCAGCTTGGCCTCTTTTCTTCAGTCTGTGTTTCTGTGTCTGTCAGAGCAGCTTCTGCCCAAAACCACCAATGTTCAGAAGAGAGAAAACGCAGTTGAAAAGAAAGGGGCCAAAAAGACGGGACTATACAAGAGGAAGAGGCCAGAGAGAAAAGTGTTGAGCAAAAAGTTACAGAAGAACAAGAAACAAAAAAAAAGAAAAGGTTGCTTCACTTAACAAGTGGTAGGAGGAGAGCCTCGGTGGCTCTCTGGGGGATATGGTCCACTTTGTCTGACCGGAACTTTGATTATCCACTCGACTGTGACCTTTAGCCGAGAATCTTCTTCTGAATTCTGGATCAGACAGGGACATTGGAGACAAACAGTCTTTCAAAAAAACACCGAGATATACGCCGAAACACACGAGCATCTCAAAGGTGGTGGATCCAAAAGGTGAACCAGGTTTCGAAAGTGTTTCCACAGGTTTATTTTTCTGTTGAACCTCTGTTTGAGTTTATAAAGCCCAACCCAGTACTTTTTCTTTAAGTTATTTTTTAAAGGTTTTAGTTTTATGTTGATTAAAAGCTTACCATCTGTCAACAAACTAAAACACTTGAGTTCTTACTGTAAGAGAGAGCGGTCGCAGATCATAACCATGTTTCGTGTATCTACCCAGTGTTGCTAATGAGCACGAGTGACAAGTTTGAATTCAAAGGCTTCTTTGGAATCTTCAATTAAGTGCACACTGTCCCTCATTAAATTCTTCTCCTTATTTCTTTGTGCTTTCACCTTCTGCTACTCTTCTCTAGTTTTACGGATTCAGGTGATGTAGTGCCGCACAGTAAAAGCCAAAGTTGGGAAATCTTCACGTTGAAAGGTTTCAAAGATCTTTTGTATTTGCTCTGTGCATAAACATGCTAAGAGCAACTAAGAGAAGCACAATGAGAGCAGTGGTGGGTGTGAATGAGACGCTGCGGAGAGTTGACGTTTGCTTTGTTGCATCAACGGCAAACACATCAGAGGTTGTTTACCTGCACAAGAAATGTAACGTCAGCCCTGTACGAGTATTGAAGTTGACTATAAAGCTCTTTCTAAGTTTCAGCGATTGCTGCATTGATGTTCACTCTGGTTCTTAGAAAAACTAACCAGAATTGAGTGCAGCCTTGGTAGAACATGAGGTCTGGGAGTTTGGAGTTCTCCTAACGTCTCAAATAGTTCAAATATAAAAAAGTGGTCGGTGTATTACTTTAAAACTGTTTTCTTTCTCATCAGTTTTAGACTTCAGAGTCCTGCAGTGACGCACGAGGATCTTTTTCATTCATTAAGAGGAAGAAATGGGTTCATTTGCATCGATTTACACTGCATATCGTTGACCAGGCTGTGAAATGATCTGTCGATCACACACACGCCCGCTACACACACACTGCCAACAGAGACACTGGAGTCTGTTCCTCCTCCTGACAGCTTTTCTTCATCACTGAGTAATGGTGTCCCTCATAACAAAAGCCTAATGTTTCAGAGAGCAATTCACTTACTTCAGATTAATGGTAAAAGCTGTTTTGTGTGTGTTTTGTCTTCCAGTGCTGCGTACGGAGAGCTGCAGAAAGAGACGTACTCGTACTCGGACCAGCTTCCGGTGTCTGAGATCATCCATCAGGTGAGAGAACACTAAAAATAATAGGGGTCACTTGAGGACACTCAAAACCACAGTAACAGACCCATGTTGATATCATCCAGACAATTTTGATTCACTGTAGAACATCAGGCTTTGTTGTTGGTCATTTTTTATGTCCTGTGCAGGCAGCTGCATTAAGCCCCCAGTGTTTTGCAGGGAATTTCACCCGCCTGTGTTTGAGTGTGTGTGTGTTTGTGTGTGAGAGTGTGTTATAACTCAATTCATGCATGGATGGATTTTCCCCAAACTTGGTGGGAATATTACTGGGGAGGATATCTCCAGACGATTCACTTTTGGAGTTGATTGGTTAAAGGGCATGGCTGAGGTCAACAAAAATATGATCCGGAAAATACATTTTATAAAATATCTCCACAAATATTACGGAAAGGCTTCTTAACGCATATATGAAATATTGATGACATCATTATAACAATATAAAAAAGCCTTATTGGTGTTTTTACACTACACGCAGACTATGCATGGCCCCTCTGATGTTTCTTTATACTATTTGAAATGTGTCCATGCCCACCCTTAAATTGGACACAGCAGAAAGTTGTGTACAGCATCCACCAACAGATGTCTTTGTGCCGTTTCCATGGTGACGGAAAGTGTGAAATGGAAGTGCCTCCTGGTCTGGGTGCGGAGGGCCCACTGTGAAATCCAGCAGAATGGATAGGCAGTATTGTGGCGAGCAATTGTGCATTCACCTCATTCTCGAATGGATTGTGGCTTTCAGTCGGCCGACCTTCACAAATGAACACCTATTCCTTCTCATTCTGCCTATACTGCGTGTGCTCCGCATTCAGAACAGCTGGTCTCGGATCCTGTATCATTCTTGTAAGATTTTCTATTATGAGCCCATTAAAAATACTTTTTCTATACTCCCACTTCAACTTGAGCCTCAGTCACATTTATCTTTGCCACAGGCAAGAGCAGACATTATTCTTATTTACATCTGGGGTTCAGCTGCCTCTGAGAAATCCATACTCAAAACCACAGAGAGTGGACGCATCAGTAAGAAACCACACAGCATTTTTCCAATATCCCTGCAATAACTGCCACGTTTGTGAAGCTTATGGAAACCAATTTTTGCTGTATCTTATCCAGTGATGCTCCTCTCTGCAGCCACCGTGGTAGACTTGATGGGTTCCCTTCCCCAGCGATGCCAAATAGATGAGAGATAGAAGTTGCTCCATCTCAGCTGGATGTTGAAATAAGCATCTGTTAGCTGACATATTCACTGAATTTACTTTATAAAGGATGATAATATTTTCAGTAGTTATTGCAGGTTACAGGTTCAATTACTTCGTTTTGCTGAATTCGAACGTTTTACTGTTTGGCCCAATTCTAAAAAAAAAAACTTGACATTCACTTAAACCTTTTTTTCCCAGGCTCTGAAGCAGATTAAAACATTAAATTAAAGAAACATTTCAGAGCTTAAACTTTTGACCTTTATTTCAGTAATTAAATATATAACAGGATATGGCTCAAAAACAATCGCAATTTATTTTTTAAAACATGATGATCACTAAGGAAAACATTTTTATGCATTTCTCTTCCTGATGTTAATTTCAGAAAATCCTGATGCAGTTCATTGGTCACATGTTTTAAAAACAGAAACGTGTGTTCGTCTCATGCCGCTCTAAAGGTAGAAGAATGCAGACACCGCACAAAGTCGTTTTTAGTTTTTGTCCATGTTAAAAGCTAAATTGGTACAATCTTGTAAATTTCATAGCACACACAAGCAAGTGATATACATAAAGTAAATCAGTCTTACCCAAACTAATCTAAACCTCACGGGGTGTCATCTTCAGTGCCTCGTAGGAATTATAATTTTAAATGTAAAGTGTGCCTGTGTGATATTCTTGCTGTGGGAAGTGTGACAGTTTGCCAGTTGTCTCACTCTGTACGCCGAAACAGACGCCAAGCAATTTCTGTAGCTGAACTAATGCAAAGTGTCAAATCTAGCTTTTCGATTTTAAAGCCAAAGCAAACAGGATCAAACAGCCGCTTTGTGGGATTTCCAGAACAATAGACAACAGCTCCCGGGGAAAAAAAAAGGAGGTAAAGTGATACCGTGGCTGTTTCTGATTAGTAAGCAGACACTGAGGCATCAAACGCAACTGCGAAAGAAAAGAGTTGGTAATTTGTTTGAAATGCTCCTGCTTCACATCGGTACTGTAGACTCACATCTGCTGAATGTTTGATTTTGAAATTATATTTGTCTCGTTTGTCATTGGAAACTAAACTCTTTTGTGTTAAAAGCTAAGGTCGGATCCATTTGAACCGAAGAAGCGGTAAAAATGAATAAAAACAAAAAAGAAGATCAATCATTTGGCCCCATTTCTGGAAACTTCCCCGGCCGATATCGACTTTAGCGCGAAGAAAAGAGTCTCGCTCATTTGGCCGAGACAAATGAAGCTGACCACGGTCCGAGCCCTGTCAGATGCTTATTGAGTAATCGTGATGGGGAAACAGGAGGGGTCCCCACACCCAGGGGCACTCTGGGAAATTAGCTGGGGACCAATTTCAGATCTTTGCCTGTTGCTCACATGAGAGCGCCCCATAAACTCTTGTCTTCAATAATCTTCAATATGTAACAATCGCACTATTGAGAGCTCCAACACTCGCTCTCACAAACACCATTAAGCCTCGGCTGTCGGCTACTTGGCTTCATATCTGGGCTCGGTCTTCTGTCTCCCCCCCCCCCCCCCCCCCCCCCCCCCTGTCTGCTCATCTTTTATACATCTTCTCTCCCTGTCTCTCTTGTATTTCTCTCCCTCTTTTTAAATGCACCCACACGTACAACACACAAACACACTCGTCAACCCCACGACCCCTGCCAGAGATTTCGATTATCGGCTAGCACTCCTGCTGGGTTGAAGATGGGAGTCCTGATAGACTGAGTCATCTCGCTCCCCCTCATCCTAGTCCATCTGCACTGCAGCAGAATGACCAATGTCCATCAAGTCTATTGACAGCTCTCCTTCTTTTGATTAGCTGTCATATTGGACTCAGTGCACTCTGAGACGTCTTTGTTTTCCTGCCGCTGTAGCAGAGCCCCCTTCTTTTGTTGTGACTGATCTGACACACTCATCTGAGGAACTAGATTTGTATCTCATAAGATTTAAAGTCTAAAATATCCAGTCCCAAGTGGTATGATTTCAGTTGTGCCACTGGCGAAAACAAATCGTTTCACTGTCTAAGAAATCAATTTCTCCATTTTCTGGTTGTCCAGGCGACACCTTGTAAATAGAGAAGTCATCCGAGTGAGTGACAGTGGGTATATATATTGCTGTGCTGTATGGCCTGTGTACAAACGTCCCCTCATTGTGTATGTATGTGTATGTATGTGTGTGTGAGGAGTTGATTAATGCTCTGTCACCGTTAGCGGTTGTCTTGCCCGTGGTGACAGGGAGAGTTCCCTCTTCTGACACGTCTCTTCTCGGCCTCACACATCTCATCACGTTGCTTAATCACAGTATGTTCAGTTATGGAAATAACTCTCTCTCTCTCTTTCTATCCATCTTTGTGTATTCTTTCTTTCCCCTCCCTCGCTGCTGTGAGTCCTCGTCTGTGGCGTCAAATTATTATTTGTTCTTTCGCCAGCTTGATGCCAAACCATATGGCTCCAGAGAATAAAAAAACGGAAACAGTGAAAATCAATACTTTGCCCTTCCTCCCATCCGTTGCCAAATCCCCTCGCTGACTTTTCCCAAAAGTAGTTGTTGGAATGCTGTGGCTCAGAGGCCAAACCCACCCTGAGCAGCCTCCCTCTGTTCTGTCAAATAGCAATTAGCTTTGCCGCTCAATAATTACAAATAACATCCTCGAGGAAAGGGAAAAAAAATTTAAAATCCTTATGAGAGAATAATGCACCCACTGGTCTGACTGTCCCTGCACTCGCTGGGGGCTTGAATGTTAATTCAATACAGTCAAGTGTCTTGGCAACATACATTGGCTGCTCCTCTGTCAACTGCCTCTGCACAACATAAATTTGCTGCAGTTTTGACCTTGGAGTAGCAGTGTTTGGCGTTTCAGACCTCCCTCAACGCCCATTAGCATCCTGCGTGGCCATGTTAATTAGCTCCAATCAATTAGATGGGCTGTTAATCGATTTTACCGGTGAATTGAATACGCAACACAAAGCGTGTGAAATGGAGGCAGGCTGCTTGAGTGTGGGTCTCTGTCCTTGGAAATGGCTTGTGAATGGTTCGATCAGTGAAGGTTCGCAAACGCTCGCCTCTTTTCTGCTCCTCTCGCCCAGCTGTTTCTTCCACCTCCAGCATTTCTGTGCCTTCATGTCTGTTTTTTTTTTCATTGTCCGTCTTTTCAAAAACTCTCATACATGTTGGACAGCACATAACAGCAAAAATATCCTCCCTCAGTGTGTCGGTGGCCTTAATTTCTGCCCAGGGTGAATCAAACTTTATATTTAAAGTAGTAAACGATGCGGTTATTAAAATGTGGAACATTAGTTAAACTTTACAAAATGTAACTAATGTGAGAAAAGGCTTATTTTAATGTCTGTGTGGTGCCCGAACTGTTGAACACAACCCTATCCCCCTGTTTTCTCTGACTTCCATCTGCTTCTCTTCTAAACTTTCTCTTTCTCTCCTCCCTCTTGACTTTTGCTCCTCTCTCTGCCAGCTGTGCTGACGTGGCCTCCTGTCACAGTCCATCCATCTCCTTCTGCTCCTCTTTACCCAAGGGACACACACACACTCACACAAACTCACTCACTCACACACACACACATACACACAGTCGCAGTCACGCACACCTCTGCCTACCATTGTCACAGAGGTCAACTGCCCCTGATGGCTCCTCGTAGCGTCTTGTGAACATCCTCGCCAGGGCTCCGCCTCGTCCTCCGAGTGTTTCACCCTTTGCTCTTCTCCTTTCGTCCTCCTACCGGCCGATTTGTCAACGTGGTTTTAGCTGAAAGTGTCTCGTCTGTCCAGATTTCATTGGTTTTTTTTTTAATGTCACACAGAACTGAGGCGTGTAGGGCAGCTGCAGCAGCAGAGAAAAACAAGCTCGGTGAATTTATAACTTGGACCAGATCCGTGTGCTGTCTGATGTCAGTGTCCATGTGATGGCTGTTTCAACTGTCAGATCGGTATTCATGAGATTATGTCAGCATCTCCATGGGACAGATCACTGTTGTCACAGCGCTGTGTCCGTTTGACCGGAAAACATGGAGGAGGACAACTCAAGCATGCTTGCAAATTTAATTTGGGATTTGGGGCGAAACCTCAACAAAACAAGAGCAGATCAGGTCAGAATTGACTAAGTGTTTGAAACCGTGAGGGGATTCTTCTTGTTCTGTGAGCGAAGAACATCACGAGCAGGACAGACCACCTCCAAACACGGCTGCACAGGGTTCTCTGAGAACAATGTTGTGGGCCATAGATACATTTGCCAATCAAGTCAGGATAGAAACCTGCATTTGTGACGGATGGAGCAGTGGATTTTTGAGTTACATTTGCATAAGTAAAAAGAATTTGATCCTAAAACAATTCATAGTTACAACCTTTTTTTTTAAGCTTGTGATTAATGAAATTAGATTCAGACTTTCCATTAAACCAAACCTAATTATTTCTCCCCTCTTCTGTGACCCCTCAGATTTGTCTTGGGACCCAGTTTGAGTTTAAGAGCCTTAAATATACTCAGAGTTGTACATTGCACACTTCATATATCACAAATTAGCTCTGCTGGAAAGTTTGTTTCTGGTTGTTAGTCCCCTCTGAGGTTAGTGAGCGCTGATGTACTTCAGCTCCTGAGTAAATGTGCCCGAGGAGGTAAAACTTGATACAGACACAAATAATTGCATGGAAACTGGATTGATTTTCAGAATGTTCACTTTTTAAAAACTGGTGTGATTAACCTCAGTTGATTGTTCATAACAACGAGGAGAGGTCAGATCCTAACGTATGTCAATGGACAGTTTTTTGAGTCTTCGCTGCAGCTCTGGCAGTAACCGATAGCAACATGTGAAGAAGGCGAAAGAGTCAGAATACTTTTACTTCCTAAAGCTCTGGACTGATGTCGTTTCTACTTTAGCATTCTGGATGGCAGTGGAGCTCTATTGATTTGACGTAGAGCTAGACGTAAACCAATTGTACTTTCTGTCCTCAGTCTTTCTGCATTAGAAAATTGGCAGAGACGTCAAGTAACCTGGAGTTTACATTGAAAAGACGGCACCCTCCGCACAGAGGTTACACAGAGTACACAGAGGTTACACAGAGGTTACACAGAGGTTACACAGAGTACACAGAGGTTACACAGAGTACACAGAGGTTACACAGAGTACACAGACGTTACACAGAGTACACAGAGGTTACACAGAGTACACGCGGTTCCTGAAATGGACTTTTTGCCTCGGTTACCAACAGCTGTTGAAATAATGAAAAATTACAATAAGTTTAACACCAGCCAAAGTGATTAATATTCATTATCCTAAGGGACACGTAATCAGGCCTGTTCTAAATGTGATTTCATGAATGGGTGCAGTGGGTTATTTTCAGTCTCTGTACAGGGGTCAAGTTCATCATCACCCTCTGCAGGAGCCGAGTGCGTCAGTGAGAACACTGAGACGGAGCCATTGTTGGGCGTTGATTTGATTGACTGATGACAAAGAGTATACAGTGAATATAACTGTGGTGTGACAGTCTCAGCCAGTGGAGATTTTTACTGACATTCAGTGCTTAGTGGGTTTTAACTTCAGACATGTTTGTGAAGGTCTCCGTATATATATATATATTTATATACATATGCACAAATAAAGCCAATGTACTTAAGCCATTTCAGCAGTTGTCACCCTCTGAAAAGAGAAATCCAGCAACATGTTAGACGTCTGCTTGAGTTGTACACATCAATTTATTTCTAAATTGCAAGGCAGATTATAAATGAATTAGACTCTTATGCAATTAAACAGTTTCAACACTGAAATGCCAAAAGGCATTTGGATTAGATGGAATATTACCGTCCCTGCTCCGCAAGGAGGCAATCGGACACAAACTACATGAGGAATATTCAAGTGTCTGAGTTTGAGCTGCGTTTTTGGAAATCACCAACACAGTTTGTCATTTCCCATCCTCCGCCCATGAAGTTTACTAAGTGCACCTGTGGCCATCTGGGCATCCTTGGGTGGGAGGTCTTATAATGAAGTGTGTGTGTGTGTGTGAGAGTGAGTGTGAGTGAGTGTGAGAGCAGGTGCATTTTTGGCGAATTGCCATTTTAAGGTGGAGGGAACTGATCGCACCATTGACTCAGGAAAACGTCAGTGGGGTCATATTTCAACTGTTATTTTAAGGGAGCATCATCAAGACAGTAAAATGCGTCTCTAAAGGGGAATGATGAATGAAATTTGATTCATATTTGACCGATGGTGGCGACACATTTATAACAGACCAGTCAGCACTCTGGCAAAGTGCATGCGAGCACACCTGGCTCCTCAAGGTAATGTGAGATGGCATTTATTTTGTATTCGCCCCAAAAGACAGGATGATTAATTGGAAGACTAAGAACCATGTGCTGGTGCAGTGACCTTTTTCTTCTGCTGTTAAACTTGCAAAAATGGATTTGGACATGTCCTAAATGCACCTGCTCTGTTCACCGTGTGCTCCGATTGTTAAAATATGCCCTGAAACCGACCCGGAGCAAACATCCCTGACCTCGGATTTTCTACCCATGTCATAAAGAGAGTGACTGAATAGTTTGGGTACATTGGGAAGTTTTTAAATTATGATAAAGTATTTCTGTGTCTTGAGGAAACACTTTTTTTTTTTCCTATAATCTAAGTGTGAGTAGTTTCACCTGAAAAGTTATGTCCAAGATAGAATTATGATTGTTATACGAGAAACGAATAAATAATTCAAAGATGTCGACCAATATGACCAGATATTACACAGCAGCTTATGTGAGTTGACCATTTTCAGTGCATGCTGCTGCTGACACATTCAGTCAGTAGTTCGGTTCTTGAGCAACTCTTGGGGACAAAGTTTTAGAGACACTGGCTTGAAAGGCTCAGGACGGCTGCTGCAGTTCGGTGATAGCATAATTTCAGTGTCTTAATTACAGATTATAAAACAAATAATTACCACAGATTGTAGAGAATACAGTAATGCAGGTATTGTATCGTGTCTCTTGGCCGATGTAAGACTTTACCCCAGTGTCCAAACCTCCAGGGCTTGTCAGTCAGACTCCAGCTCCTACTGCAGTGTGTGTGTGTCTCAAGCCAATATGTGTGTACACGAGAAGGAGCAAATGTACACACTGTAGAAGCGCTGAGGCAAGCTGGAGCGAGACGGATCACTCGAATACTTGTGTAGCAGCTTGACTGTACAATACGTCTTCGTCCCATTGTGCGTACAGTTTGTGACTCAGGCAGATTTGGAGCGTGAGCTGTGTTGTTCATCCTCTTTGCCAAGTCTCGTGGTTCTGGCTTTAGGGGATGCCTTTTCTGTCTGGTGATTTCCCCGACCGGATAATGACAGCTTGTATATTGAGGGATAACAGAAATCTCTTAAGTGCGTCCTCACAACCCGTCTGTGGCTCTGTCACCAGCTGAGGAGTTAGGGAGAATTTTTTAGAGGTTAAATCTCATCTCTCTGCAGAATATTGCCGCGGCATTAGCATATAAATGTGCTCCTTGTGAGATGCATGTTTAATACGAGCGAGATTTAAAAGTATAATCACACACAAAGTGATGATGTGGCTCTGAATGGGACAAACACAAGACAGGGGAGGTGTGCTGATGAGCTTCACTCCCCCCCAACCCCCCCTTTTTTGTGCGACCCTTTGTGTTTGTATGTGTGAGACAACAGATAGTGTACATAAAGTGTTTGTAGAGATAAAGTGTGCGTATGTGTGACTCCGCGGCTGCCTGCCTGTGTGAATGACAGAACAATCAGCGGTGGCCTCAACAGGAGAAATACACACACTATTATTAACTGCAATCTCTCCCTCCCCCCCCCTGCTCCTGCCCACTTTTTCTTCCACCACCCCCCACCCTCACCTCACCTTACCTCACCTCACCTCACCCCACCCCACCCCCCCCTCCACGCCTCCCCCCAGAAACCAAAGCAGAAAGACTGGCATCCTCCTGACGGCTTCATCCTGGGCCTGTGGACTCTAATCCTCCTGGTGTTTTTCAAGACGTACGGGATCAAACACCTCAAACACATCTTCTGAGGTTTCTCTGCGGGGAACCTGAGAACGTGAGGCTGCCGACCAGGAGCTTTCACTGGAGGGACCTTGAAGGGAAGGAGCGGGTGGTGACGGGCTTGTTTTCCTGAAAATGGAAAGAAGATGAGTGGCACCACGACTGAGTGATGCTACTGGTGCCTTTTTTATTTTTTATTTTTCTTTTGGGATGATTGCACACTACTGATGTAAATATATAAAAGTTATAATTTGTGTAATATTTCAGATGTGAGGAGGAAGAAAAAGACAAATAAGTCAAAGTGCTGCATGAGAATGCGAAGGCCCCGCTGAGCCCGGGCACACCACTCGCGGTTCAGCCGTTTTTAAACTGCTTTTACCGAAAAGGACTCCAATTTATTTATTTTTTGTTAAGCCGTTCCATAATTGCATTGATTTGGTTATAAATGCACTGAATTGAGTCTGCAGATAAGAATTTAATTTATTTTCAAGAGTGCGCTGCTCTGCATACATCAGCAGGAAGCGGCGGCAGCTCCTTTTGTTTAAGTGCTACTCAGAACGTCTGCTCGGCCAGAAAAGGAAAATGTGGGACGAGGGCGGGCTGATTGGCTGTGAGAGGGCTGTGGAGAGATTACTCTTTAATGTCGCCCCAGTCCATATACATTACACCCCTTGACCGTCATATCACGCTTGTGAAGGATAACAATCGCCCATAATCCCATCTCACATGATGGACCCATCCACTTTCCCATTCACCAAATTGCCCTCCCTGTGGAAACATCCATTAGCTCCCCAGCCTTGCACTCCGCTGATTGTATTCTGGGTAATGGACAGCTATTTCCCCGGCCATTCTGCGCCTCGCACTACAGCGGCGAGAAGTGAGTGATAACCTAGTAAGCTGCCGGCCGTCCCAAATGAATCTCCTCCGTGCCTGGACATGTTTTCCTCCTTTTTTCTCGGCCTTTCTCTCCGTGTAACCACTGCATCAGACTCATTGTTGAGGGGAGTGACTCACAGCACATGGATTGAATCGGAGGGGGGGGTGTGCTCCTTGGCGCGGGGGCCCTCCCATCGGATGTCCGCTGTCACTCTCCCTTGCGGCTAGAGTGGAAAATAGATGGAGCTGGAAATGAAACCATACGTATGGAAGCTGCTGCGTCAGCCGCCATGTTCCTTCTCCTTTACGTTATTTGTGGAACACTTTGTTGTCTCTTATCCTTGTTTCTTATTTTCTATAGTCTCATCCCTCCTGCTCTGCACGTTCATTTCCACAATTAGGATTTTCAATGTTCTGATTAAAGATGAAACATGGAATCAAAGAAATGACTTGATTGTCTGGTTCTTCTTTTATTTTCATTGATATATTGATCAAACAAACTCAGTTACGCAGTTAAAGACTCGACCTTCTTGTGATTCAGCCTGGGAGAGCTGATATTTGTATTATTTTTATTTTGTCTTCCTGGAAACAGTGATTTGTCTTCCAGTCCTGGATTTCAAAAAGACAGAGCAGCCAATGATTTCAAGCCTCCACACAATCTGTGTATACCAGGTTAGTTATGAGTAGTGTGCATGTAGCCTCAGATGAATTTGTTTGTTCCTAAACCCACTTCAAACTTGACTTCATCTCCTCCGAGCCTCTCGTTTCTACTTGAGCGCTCGCAGACTGAATCGAATAGACCCTCGTCGAGGTAATATACTCTCCCCTCTCCTCTGTCACTATGGTTTCTTTATGCTAATAAAGATCAGTGTCTGTCATCCTTCACACCTGACCTGCTGGTTGAAAAACCAGTGACAGGACAATATAAGAGCTGCCATCTCCGAAGAGGAAGAAAGACTTCCGGCTGAAGAGTCATGCAGGATGCACCGAATGTGTCACACAGGTTGTTCAAACGACAGCGGCGCATTTCTCCGGCGAGCGCACACACAGACACACGCATGTTGTCTTTAGAAGTGGAACATCGACATTAGCCTCATGAGGCAACTTGCTAAATTTAATGATTTATGCACAAACAAGAACACATGCTGTTTGGAGACCGTGTCTGCACCTGACAGGTTGTCCAATTTCCATGGAAACTCTGGATTTCCCCCCGCTCGCCTGTCAGCGAGCCTTTGTAATGTCAATCATTCCCGGGAAGGATAATAGTAATTTTAGCAGTCCCAGTTTTTTTTATTCTCATCTGCAACAATAGCTGCATGAACCGTGCTCTGCACCGCTCGTCTCCTGTGTTTTTAAATTTAGAATTTAGCTTTAACTTAAAGTAAAATAAAAATAAAGGGGAAGGGAGAGAAGTTGACACTGTTTTTGATTCCTCAGGCAGAGAAAGCTCAGAAATAAATGTGAGCTGCTTAATCTTCTCTGGCCAGATTGTTTTGTTTGAGATTCATTCCTTTATATAAAGTCAATTGTACACCCAGTGTATTTAAAGAGAGCTCAACAGAACCACTGCTCGATACGAATGACGTTTGTATTAATAGAATTTGAATTCCGTTTATTTAAGATCCTGTATTAAAACAGATAAGTTTTGGACAAGCATTGAATATTTAATTTAGGTATTTTTGAGCCTGACGTAGAAAGTGTTTTACATCATAAAAGGAAAGTTGTTATCGCGTTGGAGGCTGTTTTAATCGTGTTTTGTGGAGTTTCACTCAGCACCATCAGAAAGTTATGTCACGATAAAGTGTTGATTTTATTAAACTTGAATTATCTTAATTTAATGTATCTTATAATTGATTAATCCCTCTAACCAGTTCCTTCGCTTATCAGACTCCAGGTTGCATTAATTTAATCATATCAACCACTTTATATTCTGCCGGGAAGTAAATTCATAAAAAATTCAGGGCTTGATGGTCCAAACTTTTATTACATGTTGTGATTCTGTGTGGAAGTTAAAAAGATCTTTAAATGTTATATTCCGCTCGGTGAACTCTGCAGAAACCACATTTATAGACCAATTTGTAGATTAATAAAAACAAAAAAGATAATAAAAATTGCTTGTTAGTTGCAGCCCTGGTAATAACTTACGTTTTGTATCTTTTAGAGGATAAAAAGAAAAGCTGTCAAGTGATTTTTCAGCCCTTTCCGTAGTTTTTATATTCTGCTTTATGAGCCATCAATCCTCCTAAATGCATTTTAAGTGCATTTTATTGATCTGGTAAAAGCTCAGCTGTCGAATAATTGAAGTGTTCATGGCTCTCTGCTGAATACTTAGTTTCCCTCCATCATCTCATGATGCTTCCTTGATCTATACTCCTCATCTCCAGGTGATGTGGCAGCACTGCTTTCAAATACAAGAAAAATGCCCTTGTGCGCTTTTTTTGAATTGTGGTCAGGGATGTTCGGAGCTCGGGGGGAGTGACGAGGAGGCCTTGCAGCGCTGCCGCTCTTTCATTATCATTTCACTGTGACGCAGCCTCGTGTCACGAGCACATAGGAAGAGAGACGCTGAAAAGTATTATTGAAAGCTGCCGTTAGAGGAACGTGAGTCACCGTCGTCACATCCTCAGCAGAACCTCTGTGCTCCAGTTTCATGTCTGGAGGCTACGAATACAGAGGAAATGTTTTTTAACTCTATTAGTCACATTTTTATCCATATCTCACTGATAAATATAGAAACTGCGGAAGACGAAAGACGACAGATAAAAAGTATTTTATTGAGCGGAATGATATTTTCTATTATGTGCAAAAAGAAACACGAGTACATAAGTGCTGACATGACATTAGATAACACAATCGACCGGTAGCTAAATATGATTAGTTGTAAAAAAAAACAAACAAACAAAGGAACTGTTTTATATTTTGGGAAATGTATTTTCTCTCATGTTGAATCTTCAGATAGACACCACTGCTACGTCTGCACAGTAAATATGTAGCTGGACTCAGTGTCCAGTTAGCCTAGCTTAGCATGGAAACTAGAGACGCTCCTTAAAGTTTAAACTATATCTGGTTTGTTGCATCGGTACAAAAACATCTACAGGGAAGTCGTGTACTGGAAAACAGCAAACTGCCCAACGTTTTGATTTCCGCTTGATACCAATGGTGTGATGCAACGAAGTATATTTACTTTATTGGTATACTTCAGTACGTTTTCCATGTATCTGTACTTCTGTACTAACATTCTGATGCTTTTACTCCACTACATATATCAGCATATATGTGTACTTTCTACTCCACTACATTTTTACAATGCATTGAATGTTCACATAGTTTTTATATTTTTGATTCATCAGTTAAAAGTGGGGAATTGGGCTTTTTATCCAATCACAGCTGGTGTTTAATTAAACTCTGCCTCCGCCATCAAGTCAGACAGTTCTATTCGTTCATGGGCTACACTCTGCAACTACTTTTACTTTTAATGCTTTTAGTATTTGTAAAAACAAGTACTTACTTACTTACTACTGAAGTATAAAAGTTACTGTGGCACTTAAACTTGAGAAATGTTGAGTACTTCTTCTATCACTGGTACTAAACTCCTCTATCATGAGCTCTTTCTACATATTTACTGTACAGACATGAAAGACAGTTTCAGTTTTCTCTGGCTCTGTTTCACTGAATATAATATTTTGGGATGATTTCCAAATATAACCTCGATCTCTGGGCATATTTTTTTTATCACTTGGATTCTTTGCTAATACACAATTTCACACAGCCATTCACAGATGAGTCGACGCCTCTCTGGAAAACAGAAAGCACGTCCTGGTGTTTGCAAAGCGGGCGTCCGGTAGCACCACCCCTGCATCTGCTGATGTATGGAGAAGCAATCGTGACCTCACCTCCACACGAGCACCGACAGTTCGTATGTGACCCTCGGCACCTGTCCCCTCATTACTCACATTACAGAGATGACGGCAAAATCAATAGGGACTCTGGACCTGTATGCATCATTAAGAACAAGTGTCTGTGTCGGACCGACACCTGATTCTTATTCATGGAGGAAGAGCAGAGGAGGAGGAAAACTCAAGGATCTCAGAGCGAGCGAGAGAGAGAGGCGGCGCACACGGGGCATATACTCCACCGAATGAGAGGAGACTGCACATACAACACAATCAAGAGAGGAGAGTGACAGATCACATGCTCATGAGTTCTGCGAGAAAACAACAAAGAGAAAACCCAGTGTTCCTCGAAACGGTGTAATTCTTCAGGCTCGGAGAAGCGGCAGCAGATGAATAGAGCAGGATGGATGCTGCCGCTGCATCTCCGCTCTCGATCTTAATCTCCCACTTGTCTTGTGTGGCATGGCTGTGCATTTACATGGAGATGCAGCTTGTAGTAATATAAAACCACATTATTAACTGGTGACAGGAGCTGACAAAGCCTTATGATGCATATGTATGGGGCCAGAGGAGACACACACACACACACACACACACACACACACACACACATACACACACACACCGACACACACACACCGTTTTCATCCATAAATACTCCTTTGCAAGGTTTGACTTGCGGGCGACACTCTCGTGAGCTCCCGGCAGAATAAATGAAAGTCAGGGAGGTGATTTCTAAACCTCCTCCTTCCGAGGGGGTCTGAGTCTTCTTGCATGACACGGGAGTCTGAAGGGTCTCATCTACTTGACCTGTTCTATCTTTGAAAATCTTCAGGAGAATATGGCGTCTGAACAGTAATAATTCATTCTCTCAAACTGCCAAATCCAAACCATTCTATTATTACTATTCAGCACCAAGGGTCTCCTGCGCTGCATTGTGAGATTAGGGGCATTGTAATGGTAGTTCTCTTTCAGTGAGCTGTAAGCAGTGAATCCTGCACAGAGCCTTTATCCAATAAAGGCTTTGTGGTGAGCTTAAACCAGACTTGTATCCTCTGTTGTACCTCTGTGGTAAACACACACACACACACACACACACACATGTATATGCACAAAGACAGGGAGGATCCACAGTAAGACACTGCATGCATTGAGAGTGGACTGCATGAAGATGTTTCCTCTTGTATGACCTCACTTCACAAGGCTTCCAGAGAACGGATGTACAACTTTGAATTGGTTCGTCTCAGTAAACAAAGCTCAGTGCTGGAGCTGGAGAAACGTTCAGAACAAATGTCCAGCAGACTCTGGTCTTCACCTGTGGAAACGACTGGATGTTGTGTCCTCTCTGTGAAGGGTCCGGTGCCCCCGTCCTCAGTCCTGATGCGAGTTTCAACAGGGTTTGTCTTCACCACAGCACCGGTCACCTCTTCTGGGGGAGCAGTGGTGCCGCCGTGGCCGTTTCCTTCAGCGTCCGGTTGGCCGGGAGGGGCGGGGGGCTCCAGTCCGGCTGGTAGAAGTGGATGTCAAACGTCCGTGCCCAGTTGGCAAAGACTCGCTTCTCCGTGATGAAGCGGTGGTGGCTGCCCCGCCGCCCGCGCTCGTGGGAAATGTACATGGCGCACTCGTCTGGACCTCGAGGCTCATAGTAGTGGTAGGGGACGGAGAGATGCTGAGGCTCCCTGCAGGGGTGGAGACAGAGATGAGAGACAGTTGACATTCAGCGACGCTCAGTCACTCGAGTTTAATGTGACGCCTCAGAGTGTTTTTCATTTTGTGGTGAAGGAGGCTGATCTGTCTGTTTGTCTTGTGCACGCAGACAAATTTAGCTCATTTTAATTACTTGGATGTCACCGTTTTAAGAAGCTGTCAGCTTTTGTTTGAGCAATAACAATAGTTTTAAAGATCAGACAGGGAAGCTGTCTTCCATCATATCAACGGCCTCTGTCACGACCCAGTTCATTAAACATCATGTGGTAAATTTACTCGACATGAAACAAAGCTGAGCTCGGCCTCCTCGCTGTCGTACGTCTGCCTACGTTCAGAGGTTTAACTCCCTCCATCACACTTTCCTCTTCACCTGTTAGCATTTTGTGTTTGTCTTTATTTTCAATGATTGGTTCTGGTTTTATATTGGTCATAAAAACAGCAAGAGTTTCCAAATGTTTAAAACAAATGAGCTCAGACTTGATCTTTTTCAACAGAAGGACACAAATAAAACCGTAACAAGGATATAAAACAAGACGAATGTTTAAAATTAGGTCTAAAAATAGTTAAAATAACTGATTTCCATAGTTGTTCCGGCCAAAATCATGATAATGACTTGTGACATGCAAAAACTACAGAAGACTTAATGCATAATACATTCACCTTTCCTTTTTCTTTCCATTATTAAACACATTTTATTTTATATTTCTTCTAGATTTCAGCCTCCCACACACATAAAAGGATTCAGATCCAAAAGTTCCCGATCTTTGGATTGTGTACGAGCTCAGGGGACAGTCCATGTGTCCAACTTCTCAGATTTGTTCCAGAGAATCACTTAAACAGACAATTTACAGTGCGAGTCGTGGCAGTAAATTGTTACAACCTTTAATAAATTATAGATAACACATTCAAACAGGAGCAGAGTGTGCACTAAACATATGTGTGCACATGTGCATGGGGGTCGTTGCCATTAACGAACTTTACATTATTACCTCAAACACATTCACTGTCCACTGTACCATTAAGATTTATATGGCTGTGCCTTACTTTTAACAATATGTGCCTTCTAAATGGAAAAGTCAACCCTAATGATGATGCTAATGATTCTGACAGCATTCACCTTCCATAATGCAGTAACCACTCGGTTTTACATTTGAGTCAATGTTATGGTAATAGGACAAGACCTCTGGTATTTAAAAACAATTTAGCTCCTTGAATTGTGTTAAATCTTAATTCAGTTAATCCTCCTTCCGCCTCTGCAGATACACTGTTCACACATCTGTCAGAAGTGATATCTCAGATGCAGCGTTAATGTGTATGAGACGCTTCATTGTCTGATTCTCAGCGGTTTCAGCTGCAGCAGTCGTCACGTACGTTTTCTTCGGTTAACGAGGGAAAGTGCTCCTTTTGTTTTGTTAGCCTGACTGCCGTCATTGCGTCATAAACGATGTGAAAACCTAACAGGGATAGTTTCCCCATCATCCTCCAGTCTCTCTGCACATTTTCAGTGAAATATATAAAAAAGGCAAAAATGTCACAATAATAAGCTTCAGCCGGAAGAAACATGTACCTCACCGCTGTGTTCCTGCATTTTTAGAAGAGAAGTAATTTAGGCCACTAGATGAAAATTTAAAGAGTGAGTCAGTCGTCTGTAAGAAATCATTAAAAACACACTTTCATTCATGCAAGATACATTTTTCTTTAAAAGAAAAGAAGGGATGGTTCTTTAAAAAATGTAAGCAACCGTGACAGAGCAGCAACTTAATAACATGGAAAACTATTCTTTTGAAGCCGAGACAGAGAAGGAAGTGGGTAAAAGAAAAGGGAGAAAGGAAGAAGAGGGGGAGGAGGGTGGCATCACAACTCATATTTTATCCAGATATCTGATATTATAACGGTTGTTGCATCGTTTATTAATGTTTTAACATGAGGTTAGAGCGAGAGGAGGTTTTGAATTTTTATTGGGATCAAGTGAAGTAAAAGTCCGCAGGCTTCGCAGAACTAAAACGAATCATACGTGTCAGCTTACGCCAACAAGAGCTGAGATAATGAACCGACACTCGTTCTTCATCATATCGTCCAGATTGAGTTTGAGCCGAGACCCAAATAAATTACAACTTGAATCAATCAGATCCATGTGTGAAGATAAAATAAAAGACGGAGCGTTCTACAGTTTGTTCTTTTTATTGAGAAACCTAACAAGACTTGTTCCGCGTCCAATAAAAGTCCTCAATTAAAGTGTTGCAGCTGAGATGTGAAGGAGACGTGAGCTGTAATTCAAACCATTAAACTCCGCTAATGAGGCAGGAGCCTTGGTCGCTCGGAGCAAAATGGAGGCAGAACAGATTATTTATCCCATGGTTCTTTGCATTTCTGTAATCTATATTTATTAAACATGCACCCACGGTGTCTGCTTATGTTTTAAAAATGGGGGATGCAAAGTTAGAATTGTAGATAAGTGGGGGTGGGGGTGATGGGAGGGTTGGGGGGGGGGAACACATTTCCTGCATTTCTAAACCACTGAGCCGTCCGCTCTGATTGAAGCTGCTATGAAAGACAGGAATCCATTAACAGCTGCAGGATCAGGACGGGAAATGATTTTTGTTTTTTTATGAATAGAATTTCAAATCTGAAAGAACCATTTAGAGGAGTCATTACTCGGCAGAGGGCCATCGTCAAGGTCAAACAATTCATGGAAATGAGAGAAAATCTTACTGCACAACATGATTAGGTAAATTAAACCTGCTTTAAAATGATTAACCTGATTGTTGCTGTTCTCACGGTTCAACGACCGCAACAAAAAAATCCAACAGTTTGGATGAATTAGCTTCACGATGACTGTCTAATTTTAACACACACACAATAAATAATAGAATATGAAATAAAACTGTCCCTATAGAAGCTTTGCCAAACGTCTGACCCAGAAAATGTTCTCGTGCAGGTTGTTCTCGTGTGGTTATGATCATACTTCAGTGTTATAGATACACTTTGTGTCCCATCAGCGTTATGTAACGCTCCAATTCTACGAGATTGAAGTGTTTTGGGCCACAGCTTTAAAATCGAGGTGGTTTTAATCTCAGCTACTTCTCTACCACCTGTAGGGAAACAAAGCCACCAGCGTTTCGTTGCCTGGAGATCTTTTCACCTTTATCATTAAAAGTGTTCATCTGTTAAACAGTGACATGTGTCTATGAGCTGCTGCACTGAGACCTCACTGGGTTGAGGCCAATCTAAAAACAGGAACAGAAACTGTGTGTATCGAGTGCACTGACCTGAAAGAACGAGCAGTCAGAGTCAGCTGGGTGTCAGAGAAAGTTGTTCTCTGACAATCAGAGTCAGCATCAGAGAGGAAGTGTTCCAGTGACCAAAACCCTTTTAAAAATAAACCTTGTCTGAGTGGACTCACTCAAACAACGACAGACCTGCGTCATGACAACACATCCTGCGTTTGTTTCTGCTCCGGTTCATAGACTGGACCCTCTAAAGCCTGCGTTTCACAATTTATCATCCATATCACATCAAAAAGGACCCTCTCATCCAAATACAGCAAAGAAATGCAGCTCTCCTCTGCCTGAGTTCAACGTGTGTGTCATCGTCATGTTCTTATTGATGCCACATCTGTGACATGCGCTCGGAAAGAAAATTGAGAAGCATCCTGCGATCAAAAACAGTCCCGATGACCCGACTCCATCCTCTGAGCTTTGTAGAAAAGAAAAAAAAAAGATAAGAGGAAACAAAAATCTGTCGACTGATTCACAAAGTTGTTCCCTTTCAAATGAAAACTAATGTGAAATCTCAACGTCTTGCGTGAGACCATGATAAAAACTGCACCGCTCGACTTATCCGTGACGTCTCACCGACTTGTTTACTGACTTCTTTCTCACTAACAGGCAATTTAAGAATTCTAAAAACATCTCCAGCCGCACTGACATTTTATTTATCAGCTGCCTGAATATATTTACACGTTTAATCTTTCTTATCGGGCGGCCGTTCTCTGCCTCTATGAATTTGTATACGTGTGAAGCAACCGCGTACAGCTCTGTTTTAAAAACTGCTCACTGATGAGCCGACGATGCTGTTTCACATTCAGCTCCGCTGTCTCACCTGCAGAAGTCAGGGGCAACCATGCCATAGACATTGATCCTATCGCACAGCTCCAGGGCGATGGTCATAGTGAACCAGCCGGTGCTCAGCCACGAGTTTGATATCCTCCTGCGGAGGAAGGCAGAGAGATGAGAAGAGAAAAGACAGTTAGATGGATTTCATGTGCGGGAGACCGTGAGCCTGACAACTGTACCATATTACATTTCTTCTGACTGATTAACTGGGATGGATAATCAGAAAATGTCACGTTGGCGTACTATGAAGAAAGATTTCTCTAAATCCAGAGGTCGATATTCCTGGCTGCATGCGAGATCATTCAAATTCCCACACAGCTTCATTAAAATACGGATCCATCCCACGTATCGACCGATACAAACGAACCCTGTCAAATAATCAAACCCTTAATCACAAAATAGCCTCGGTCTGCATGCATACAAAGCCCAAATGACATATTTAGCTTGAACCTCAGAATGATCTCCTTTAAGAAATGTGCATTTCAAAAATCTCTGGGTGTTTAAACGCCCATCAGAGTCGTGTGTCTCGTATCAAATTAAAAAACAAACACTCCCAATTTTTTGATTGAAAAATTCCTCGTTGGTTTTGAGAAATGTAATGTCAGCTTGAGTTTCTAAAGGTTCTGTTGCGATGGAGACGTTCTGAGATTCTCTCACCACAGCAGGAATATCAGACTGCAGCATATTTTATAATATAAGTAGCTATCGGAAGAATCTTTTTAATCAACCACCTCACAGTTTTCACATTTTTAGGATTTATATCTAACTCGCTGTGTAGAGCAGCCTCACAGAAACTTCACGATGCTGCTGACCTGAGGCTCGTTGGCCTGGAGCAGCTCTAATCACTGCCAGCCCCTGTCCAGTGGGGGGGGGGGTTCAGTTGTTGTGGTCCAAAGCACTTTTAGAACGATCAATATTCATCAAATCAAAGTAGGAGGTCACACAGTGAGCTAATGCCTCTACCAGGGCTGACACTTCATCACTATAAAACTTTTTACAGTTTCACTTGTTCATAGATGTTCAGACTCTTCATGTGCCTGATTCCTTCTTATAGATTTCTGCATTGTTTCTGGAAATTCCTCCAAAAAGTGAGAAAACCTTGATCGAGCTTGCTCCAAAAGTTTGAATAAAATCGTTTCAGTATTTGCGTAATCCTCCTCAGACAGACAAACAGCCTTAGTGGAGGTAATTAGTTGAAGTTAAAAAAAAAAAAAAACTGCTCTCGTTTCACACAGTGTGAAAATATTCAAATGAGCGTTCAGCAGGGATAGATTCGAATCCTTCAGCTGAGTCGGGCACAGACGTGCATCTCGCCTCGCTCCCCTGCTGCACAGCTGAGCCTCATCTCGAATGGGATTGTGGCTGGTGACCAGTAAATGTTTTCATGCATCAGTTATGAGGTGCACTCTCAGGCGGCCCCTTAAATAGAATGGCAAGGTTACAAGATGAATGTAGGCAATCCCCGGCAACCCTGATTCTAATTGTTCCAACAGGGTCGAGACTGTAACGCTGAAGTTTGCCAACAACAGGCATCTCACCACACAGAGAGATTCAGCGTAGGAGGAAAATAAAATCCATAATGCACGGCAATTATATGAAATCATTCATCATCATGAAATTCAACACTTAAAGATGTAGGAGCACCACAGGCAGTTTTCTAACAGCAGTAAATCCCTGCCACATTCATTTAGATGTCAGAAGTTTGACCTTCATATTTCATTTTGGGCCGAGACAACAAAAAAAACCACACTTTCAGATCATTAGACTTGTCGAATGGCAGAAGAAATAAAGGTTAATGGGGCAGAGGAAAAAAATGCTACTACGAACAAACTGTTCAACTAATTCTGCACTTTCTGAAATGTATTATTTAATGTAAGAATCTGAGACTTGAGGCCTGATACAATGTCAGGGGATCAATTAAGTCCTGTTGTTGAGATACTTGAGTTTGGCCGATCGTAACCATCATGGATAAAAGTAAAGTTTCATGTCACGTTGGCATTAAACACTTCAAACTACACTTCAACTGTGTAAACCTTTAGTTCACGATCATAACTTTCCTTTGGTGGGAAACGCAGGACATCCATCCATCATCTATACCGTTTATCCTCTGATGCTCGCAGTGGGAGCTGGAATTAATCCCAGCTGAAATTTGTTCGATAGGTCTCCAGCAGATCTCAGGGCCAACGCACAGAGACAAACAAACACTCACACTCACGCCTACAGTCAGCCGCAGGATTATTGGTCGGGGGTGCACAGAAAGACCCCTCTTGCTGTACAAACCGCCGCTCCGCGACCCTGCCCTAATTCCAGGACATGTCCGCAAATATTTTTGAAATGGTCAAACTCTCTAAGTCTTTATCCACTGAAACACAAAAGCCTGATAAGAAATGCCTGCTCCCCTCCAGCTGATGAGGAGGACACATTGTGAGTGGAGGGTTCGCCGGCTTGTTTGGAAACAGCAGAGAGAACCGAGCGGTGGGGATTCACATCAGCCCAAAAAGTCCTGAAATAAAAGGCCTGATTAGCATTTGTGCTTTGAACCTTTCCCCTGCTCGGGGACGGTGGGATAGAAACACTTCTTCTTGCAAAGTTGAAGTGGAGCAAGGAAATGTGACCAGACTGTTCAAAAGGATTTCAGTGTAATCAGGAAAATATACTTTGCTGTGCTAACAAAGCTTTGTGTTCACACCTCTGGGTATTTTTAGCCACGCTAATGCTGTGGTGCAATTGCTCGGCCTAACCCTTTGGTCCAAAGTGAAATATCTGTAAAGACCAGGAACAGATGTCCATGAAATTTGATTTAATTTAACATTTCTCACGGTCCCCATTGAAATATTTAAATTTAATCTCTCTCACGTTCACATTGACCCAGACAGTCTCTTATATTGAGCTAAATCAGAGTTTCCATTAAAACTTATAAGATGTGGGATTGTCAGGGAAACATATAGTTTACATGTCATGGAGTTTTTTTATTTTTATCTCATTGAGTTTTAAATGTCTCTCATAAAGAGGCAGATGTTGAATTTGGTGCATTAATTAGGGTCAAGCTTCCTCTCTGGACGTTTGACTCCACAGTGTGTTTTCAGAAACAGCTTTAAGGAAATAAACCGCTCCCTCATCCCTCTCTGTTATTTCTCCCTGATCCGACCCCATCACTGTGTTTGCTGGATGTGTCAACAAATGATCAGCTCCTGCTGTTTTTTTTATTGCGTTGCCAAATCTCCAGAATCAGTCACTCTGCACCGGCTGAGTGACACCGTGATGAATAGTGACAACGCACTTTTGTGCGACTTTCATCTTTATTAGAGTCCGTCGGTGCAACAAACAGCAGCGTCGAGCCAAAGTGATGTTATCGCAGATGACGCACCGGCTTCTCATTCTCATTTAATTAAGACAGGACCCAGGTTGTCTGGAACACGTTGATTTGTTGTGATATGCAAACACCGGACAGACACACACACATAGTTCGCACACACACACTTTGCAAATTGGAAAACTTTCAAAGTTCAGAGCGCAGCATTTTGTCATCAGGCAATCAGTGGTGTGTGTGTGGAGGTCTTAGTCAGGAGGCATGCAGCTAATCTCACATAAGAAGTCTTCTTCATTTCCTTGTTTATGAACATGCTGGTGAATAATGTGGTGTGAAATGTCAAACTCCGAGCTTCAATGGCTGTCTTTTAAAAAGAGAAACCAAGCTGAGCACAGGAAGACGGATTTCTACAGAGCTGCTGCTCGTGTTAGCACAGTTTTATTCTGTAAATCTTGCAAAAGTGCCCATTTAAAGAGCAGCTCAACTGTGAGTCCTAAAATCTTCTTTCAATTGATAAATCAGAGCTTTTCAAGAAATGCTCTGATACAAAAAACAAACACTCATCCCGAAGGCAGGCTGCACTTCTTCCTTTGTCATAGATCCAAATGAAATAGCTGATTAAATATTCCACTTTTTAAGCAGTCGCTGTAATTAACAAGAAGCAGCTGATTGGAGAGGATAGTGCTGCTGTGCTTCTAAAGAGCAGGAGAACTGTCGTTGAGCTCATTATAATGGCTGTTATACGACTGCTGAGAGCTAAAGGTCATATTAGTTCAAGCTGAAACACCTGTTGAACATCATTATCAGTGCAGGTGAACACACACACGCACACACACTCGTCATGTTCGAGTGACTCCAGTAATTAGAGGGTGTTCGTTGTTTATTTTGTGTTTTTCAATTTAAGGACCTTCGCTTTTTCCAAGGTTGTCTGCGTCGACTGTCACAGTCTGATCCCAGCTCCCGTTTCTGTTGCGTCACTTTTGTTTTGCATTCCTCAGGGTGAAACAGGCGACAATAAAGCTGCCTCCTCCCTCGTGTGCAGAGTCTCTCTGAGCATATTTCTTCATATTTCATATTTCAGTCCCATTAATATACATCTTCTCTGAATGGTCCTCTCCACCAGCAGCAAACTCTCTCCTGCTTACATTTGGTTTTCATTTTGTGTCCAATTTGCCCAATTTTCTAGTATTTTCCTTCTTATGGCTGTTGGCAACATCAAAGTTTTATTACTTTATTATAAAGCAAGAGCTTTTAAGACAGAGATAAAGAGTGCAGAAGAGTTATGTGTGAAATACTTGGTTTACTTGCGCCAGCAATTCCACTTATTTTGCTTGATGCGACTTGTTTTCAAGTCTGTGTGGACATAAGCAGATGTAGTCAAGTTACTATTCAAATATATTTAAATTGAAATCCAGAGAAATAAAATAAGAATTAATGGGTGTTTACATCCACTTCTGTTGTGTGTATAGATATATTTGGTTCACATATCGGCTGATTTACTGAAATGAATAAACAGCTGGTGGAGCCAACTCTCAGGTCCTATTAGTTTGATTAAATTAATTAAAACACCCTCAGTCAGACCTCAAACAAAAATATGGAAAAATATTCATGAATCTTTTTTTTTATTCATGTATTAATATGAGGAGTGTTACAGACTTCTCTTTTATTTTTTTCAAATCAGCCAAAAGAATGAAAACTTTTTTTGGTTGTTTTCCAAATTTGCCACAAAATGCTCATGAAAAGAAGTCGACAAACTTTCTGTTTCTGTTGCTTTGTGTCGCCTGAGTCCAATTACACTCATTTTTATAAAAAAATTGGTGACATCTTGTTTTTTCTTTTTTTCCCAGGACACGTTTTCCAACCTTCAACCTGAGCAGCAGTTTTATCAGCCAGGGTAAGTGAAGAAAGCATGTGGGGGGGGGGTCACTCTAGACCAGGTGTGGGGAAAACATCCGGCCTTCGGACTATATGCGATTTATAAAAATGACAAAATAACACAAACTCAGAAATATAAAATGTTCACCTTAGCAATAACCTTTTCTGCAATAAAAAGAAAACGAAGAATAAATGTATTTTAATATGATAAAACAATAGTGCTCTTCTTCGGGGCGGACCCCTCTGGCTCTATGCTTTCAGGTCACGGTGAATGAAAAACCCACATAGCTGTATTCAGACGAGTGTCATGGCGACTGTCAAAAAAATATGTGTGTGATCCATTATTTAGTTTGGCCCTCAAAGGGCACAATTGAAAAGTCCCTCGATAGGTTCTTGAAAGGTTTCTCTGCCACCGCTCTAGATCTATTTCATCTCTGGTTGACAGCTGTTGAATCGTTCTCTCTCTCACGTAGCTCTCAGACTCTGGGCTCTTTATCTTTGCAGAACTTTTGTCGTCATAAAAAAAAATATATATTTAATAGATTTGCGGTGTAAGGGATCGACCCTGCGACATTTTGTTAATCGACAGATTTCCAACCATCGGACCTGTAACACACACATCCTGCAAATCATACCACGACTCTGTATCCGGTAAAACCTCAAACCAGAGCTCCACAGTAGAGCTGTTGGTGATTATCATAACACATTACACAAACATAAAGCGCTGAATGGAAAAAGAAATTTTCTAAAGCTAATTTGGCTTTAATCACCAGCGGAAGCTCATTCCAGCTTGGCAATTTAACACAGGGAATGCAGGGGGGGGGGTACCTGCTTTTCACTGCTCCTCCGCCAGTGTGATTAAAATGGGTGGATGCAGGATCCCACACCATCTTAATTACCTTTACTGAAATGGCATAACCCATAATTACAATTACATGCTTGCAGGGTTGTCGATCACGCAGTTGATTACCCAGAAACTCTACACTATTAATGCACTTCTCCCACAGGATCCGAATCCTTAAAGGACAAAAGGATTCATTTTAAATATTAGTGGTTTCCTGGTGCAGCATGTTTTACATGCTGATGGCCTCCTATAAACTTTTCTCAAACATTAGGGAGATACAGATTTAGGTCGTCTTCCTCTTTTCTGATATGCTCCATGGAGCAGAAATGAAGCTGCCTGCTCACTGTAAACATTTATTTACCATGACTGGAGGTGCAGAGTCTGAAGGATGATGTCTGAGCTATTCTCCAAATTCTCTATTCTGCAATTCTCCCCCTGACATGTATCTGAAGCTGGAGACAGATTCAGTCACAAGTGACACCACAGACAAAGGCTCCGACGAGAGGGAAAGACAGACGCTGTGCATTTGTGTATGTGTGGTGTTGTTTTCACTGAGCACTGATAATGCCGGGGCTGAGAACTCCATCTTCTGAGTCCTTTAAGCCTGTTCAGCTCAGGGAGAAGTTGTTACAGGAGCAGAAACTTTACGAATCCTTCGGAAACTTCACAGCTGAGAAAACTCTGATCCTAGAGCCACTGTATGCACAGTATTACAAAGTGTCAGGGCAACAACCTCACCTGTCTTTGCCCGTCTCCTTCTTGAAGAGGTCGTCAAACTGCAGCATCTTCTGCCAGGAGATGATGTAGACCTTGAGTTTGGGCAGCACCTGGTTCATCAGCCGCAGGTTGTTGTACACCAGGCCCTTCCCGTCGCGCCTCATGTAGCTGCTGGGGCCCCAGAAGATGAACACCGTGTCCTGGCTGGCGTTGAGCAGCTCGTGGCGACTCCGCAGGACCCTCTGCATGCTGGAGTGAGCGATGACACGCAGGGAGGTGCGGTGGCCGACATCGTGGGCGTAACCCCTGGCGGTGGGTGCGTCATTCATGCGGATGACGCACTCGGCCCGATCGATCTCTTCACCCCTACCCCCTCCGATGAGGTGACCGGAGCTGGTCACCAGGGCGCAGGTCTGGCAGTGCATTCGCAGAGGCTGATTGAAGACGGCAGGAGAGAAAGAAAAAACAGGAATAAGAAACCGGAGAAGAAAAATACACTTTCTCTTAAAAATAGCTTCTGCGCATCCAAATATTTGGCTGCCTCATTCCTCGGGGAGGCACCAGCAGCACCGCCAGGAGAATTTTTATGTTAGCTTTGCACCATATTTATAATAAAAAACCTACAGACTTTTGTCAGAAGTCAAAAATGCTCAGAAACTTCTGTTTATCCCCGGTTTATACAGAATATGCAAAGGCAGACAGAAATGCACACCTAAGGGAACTTTGGAAAAAAGCTTCACTGTGTGTTTGAGGCAGAAAATGCTTTGCTGACAAATGGATACCGACAGAGCCTCTTGGGTACGTGTAGCTTGTCATATTGCTTTGTGATTGGTAGAAACCCTGAGGTCTTACAAAAAAATTCACCTTAAATCTTTCTCCAACTTGCACACCACAGAGGAGTGTGTGTGTGTGTGTGTGTGCAACTACAGCTCTGTTGCTTACAATTCAGGTGGATGCTTATTAAATATGAACCTTTAAATTATTTAGCATAGAATAATATACTGTCCACTTTATTAGGAACACCATACTGATACCAATGGGCCTCTGTTTGCCCAGTTCCTCGGAGATTCTGGTCAATGCATCACATCACATCACATCACATCACATCATCTCTGCAGTTTTGTCTGCTGCACATTCAGGCCGTCAGTCTCCTGTTGTACCACATTCAAAGCTGTTCCATTGGATTCAGATCTGGTGACTAGAAAGTTCACTGAACTCATTCTGAAATGCTTTTCTGCTCACCCCCAGTTGTTAACAGTGGTTATCTGAGTTACTGCAGTTTTTCTATCAGCTCCAACCAGTCCGGTCATTCTCTCCTGACCTCTATTATTAACTCTACGTTTCCATCTGTAGAGCTGCTGCTCACAGGGTGGTTTATTTATTTATTTTTTATTTTCTGCACCATTCTGAGTAAAAACTCTAGAGCCTGTTGGTAATGGAGGAGATCACTTTCAGAAATAGTAAAACCAGCACCAACAATCGCACCAAAATCCATCATGATGTTTGAAGTGAACATAAACTGAAGCTCCTGATTGCTAATACTGCCTATATGATGAATATGTGAATTAAAGTCCTGCTAATCCATCCCATAAAAGGGATTTGGTTTTCTTATCCTATAAAAGAGATTTACTATCGTGTTTGATGATTGGAAACAAAAGATCAACGCATCAATATAAATATGAAATAATAAAACAACATGAGATAATCACTGTCCCAGCCGTTAAGATGGATGACAAGAAATCATGTCGGCCGTTTTTCTTTAATTAATGGATCATGAAATAAATCAGGCTTATTTAGGGGACTGATTTCTGCAGGTGTGTGTAATTTGGTGCAGCTTTTTTGATTTAATTGATTTGGATCGACGATGGTGTGCTCTTCTAGTTGAGAAATGATTTACAATTTAAACCATAAAAGCCAAAAATCCTCTGGTTCCATTCTCCAGTTTATTAATATTTGCATGTACTTTCTCTTTTGTGGTAGTAAATTACATGCGTTGAATCATATTTGTGGCTGTTATATTCAAGATCCCACGCTTGTATGTCTAAGTTGTAGTTAATTAAGTATGTGGTCTCTCTCTCAGCAGGCTCATTAACACAGACCTACTTGTGTTGTGTTAAACTGCTCTGTGTGTTGGTGGTGTGTGTGTGTGTGTGTGTGTGTTTGTGTGTGTGTGCATCATGTGGGTGTGTCTGGGATTTTCCATGCTTGCACACAGACCCCTGCACTGAAAATCAATGACACACATCCCAGGACTGCAGAACCCTGAAATATCCCCCAGCAGAAATATGCTGGTTATTTATGGACTTATAGCAAAAACAAATTTACATTTTCATTGCATTAACAAGGACAAATGATTATAGCTTCGTTTGTGTGTGTGTGTGTGTGTGTGTGTGTGTGTGTGTGTGTGTGTGTGTGTGTGTGTGTGTGTGGAGTTAGAAGATGTGTCGTTATCATCCTCATCTGCTGACTTTGACTTAGTGGCAGATTACCAGCAGGAACAGACTCATCTGGTTAATGAGACTTCAAGGAGCAGGAGGAGAGGGAGATGGAGAGGTGGAGAGGTGGAGAAGGGGTGGGAGAGAAAGGGAGACGGAAAGAAGAAAAGGAGAGAGAGAGAGAGACAAACGAGTAAAAAGAAAAGATGGAGGAAGAGGGAGATATATAAAGGCAGTGAGAGCCACCTCTGTGCCACAGTGTTTGATGAAATGTTGAGCTAATGAGGTCCTGGCGGTCTACAACATCATCATCATCAGCAGCAGCAGCAGCAGCAGCAGCAGCAGCGGCATCCCTCCATTCCTCCCGTCTCCCCCTGCCGTTGCCTCTCCCACCTGGCAGCGCCTTGACAGCCAATCTGGCTGTAGAGCTACGGCACCAGTGGAGCAGGTCAGAAATCCCATTTTCTCGCAGGGGCTTTTAAGTGGCTCCACAGACCCTATTCTCTCTTCCTCTGTCTCACGGAGAATTTAAGTGGGCCTTGGCCGGCCAGAATTGGCCTCTTCAGGGAACTTGGTCAGGCTATTACCAAGAAATAGGCTAGATGGTCTGGAGAAGGCTCTCCATTTCAGCCAAAATTATGTGACCCGTCCACTGTGGCGGCTCGGGTTAAGACGATGGAGTCGAGGTCGAGGCCGCTTCTGAGGCAGCGTTCCTCAGCACCAGCTCTGAGAGATTCCTAAAAACTCACATTTGTCCTCAACAAACCTCCGAGGAAAACTGTGCTCTGCTTAATGATTCATGCAATAAATGGTTTATAAGACACATCTATCATTTATGTATGTGGAATCGCTGGCTTTGTTCTTCCAAAAAACTGAGAAAAATACCTTTGATCAAAATGAAAAAGATTTTCCACATCTAAACTGTGAGTGTTGAGTATTTTTCTTTTATTAAATTCAGCAGTTTGTCTGGTTTCGACACAGGAGCCAAGCTTTGAACTAGATAATTTCTCCAGATAAATAATACAATGTGAATACTGCGAAGGTTTTTCTTTCCTACTGGAGGTTTTAAAATAGATTGAAGGAGGAAGAAAAATGTAAGTTATCAGGAAATGTTTTCCAGGAACATCTCTCTCTTGTGTAAGCCATTATCAACATGCAACAGGACTTCTTCTACAGATGGAGTCTGGTTGCATGGATTCATAAATAGAGTTAAATGAAGGTATATTTATCTGTTGCTTGCAGTTGTTGTGTGCGTGGTGGAAAGTAACTGAATACATTTACTCAAGTAATATACTTAAAGTACAAGATCTATGTACTTCTGCTCTACTACATTTCAGAGGTGAATAATATGAAGTAAAAAATATTAAAACGTTAAAAACGACCCATTACGTGTCAGATGTGAGTTTTGAGCTGTTTGTCGAGTTGTTGCAGATTATTTCAAATAATTAATGAATTTACTAAATGCTTCAGTTCTAGATTCATGTTTGAAGATGTCTTTTAAATCTTTTTGCTCAATTGATAAACATATAAACCTAAAATTAGCTCAACTACATTTTCGGTTTCACAGTGAGATTCTCAGCCTCAGAGGGATGAAGAATAACCTTGTCCCACTTGTGGCACACACCAGGAGCCTGCCCTGGTTTCATTAAGCCCATCCATCCATCCACAGTGGCCTAGTAAAGAACAAAACCTCCAACACGCAGACAGAAAACCGCCCGTCGCATCCGCTCCGCCTGCCGGAGCGACGGCACCGACGGTGGGGGCCGCCTGCTTCTGTTTCCTCACTCTGTCGGCATCTGAAGCCTCCTCTGCTTCCACTGAGCTTGTCCTTCATCAGGCTGCATGAACCATCACTGGCTGCCCACCGTGCAGCCTGCCCGACTCCCTGACCCGGGGAAAACATGGCTGTCAGAAAAGCGGGGATTAACCTTGAGAGATAGTGGAGGGGACGATAGGAAGGGGGGAGCTCGGTCCCACGCTTCCTGGGGAGACTGTATCCTTGAAAGAGGAGGGAGACGGGTTGGGAGGGAGTCTGGTGACCAAAGAGGGGTTTCGTGTAACAAGACAGACTTCGGGTGTCTATTCAAGTTCAGGACAAACATGGTGTTTGCCATTTAAATGGTTTCTCCAGTGTTATTAAGGCCGTTTGGAACATCAGAAGGCTGTGATTGTTGAGTGGCGTTCGGAGACTGTGTATGAGAGTGTGTAATTAAACAACAGGGACGAATCAAAGCCCTAGAGGACTCACATAATCACACACTGTTACCATCTGATTGTAATTGGGAAGGATTGTGCAGTTCAGCCGGCCTGATTGGCTTCGTGGTCAGCAGCCAGAGCTCTTCACCGCCCATGGGTAACACGTGCAATAATTGGTGGTTAAAACACGCATGGCATGAAATCAGCTTCACTTCTTCACCCTATCTCCCCCCTCCCTCCTTCCCCAACCGCCTCGGCCCCCTGAGGAAAAGCCATACTTACACTGCAGTGAACCTTTACGCTTGATGTATGCCATACTCCTTCTGAGTGGAGAAATAGCATTTGAGTGTTGTTATTGATTTTGTGTGGGCAAATGCAGAGGGATCGAGTGAGGGCTTAGTGAGGATGCGGGACCTCTCCAAGGACGCGAAATGGAGGATATGGCTGGTAAATGCGAGTGTTGAGAGGCGGCAATCATCCGGCCCAGCAGGATGTTGTCTGGCTGTCTAGTATTGTCCAGAGATCCCACAACAGAACAGAGCGTTTTCCACCCCCTCCAGGATGACCTTTAGGCTTGTCAAAGAAATCGTTGTTTTCCATAGTCTCCTCAGAGAGACGACTTCTAACCACGGCCAGAACTCAACAGTGGCTGGAGGCACCTTGCAGGGTTTTAAAAAAACGAAAACAAGGGGAAATTCTGACCTTATGTACATTTCAACTATCTGTTACCACCCGTCAGCCTGCTCGTGTGTTGTTGACTGTTATGAATACAGCTTTTGTCCTTCATGGGCCGTTGGTGACTGATGGG